TATCACTCGCGACAGCCGAACATAGAATGCTGGTTGCTGGTTGCTGGATGCGTTCAATCATGACTTGCTTGTGCTTGTAGGAATAACCGCACGCCGATGTTGCCAAAGTTATTGAAGCTCAAATACCGGTATGGTCTGTCAAGGTTGCCAAACCTTCGGAGTACCAGTAGGTTTTATGGTACCAGTGGCGGCTAAAAAAGTCTCAAAATAAGGTTCTCCACTATCTTTAGCTCGCTTGATGTACGAGGGATGTCTTTTAAGTTTTGCATACAGAAACATAGTAGGCCGCGCGGATCGAACGTCAGTACTGTATCTTAACCTCACTCTTTAGTAAACTTAAATTCAAAGTTTCACAACAATACGTGCAGTGTTCTCACTATAGTGAATTTTTAAGTGTCACCAAGTCATTAGAAAAATGGAACTCAACCGATAACATTTTCGCGCCATAACTTATTACAACTTTCAGAGACAATTATCGCAACAAGAATGCCTTGCTGAGTTACTGTATGTTTTCGGCAGCGAAGCGCCACATCAGTCGACAATTTCCATTGGTATGGAGAATTCAAACGTGGACGGGTGAGTCTTAGGCCCGTATCGTCAGTAACCCTACAATTGTAGGGCGCCTTTATGGCCTCCTTGATTGTCATAGTTTTCTACTTCTCAGTGTCAGAACTCTATTTTGAGGTTAAGTCACAAACATCTATTTGCATCAAATTGTGCTTGCTTTTGAGTTATATCATGTTTTATCAGCCTGAAATTTCCTACAATGTAATCAAATTCAAGCGGATAACCAAATGGAAATGGTATTTACCATTTTGGGTTGGTATTTACCAATTCGTTCAAGCGAGTGTAGTTATCAGTTTGGTTATAAGATCCGTGACGTCACGAATCAGCTGTTATATGTCATAGTTATCACCGCAAAATTGTGGTATTTACCCAACTCAAGAGTAGTTTTATATTTCTGGTTATTATTTGAAATGTGACAAGTTAGAATTTTGCCGGGAATTGGATATTGTTATTGTACTTCAGCTTCATTTTTGAGAAAAATGATACAGGCTGACTTCAGTTTTACCATAAAGTGGAGCACCTTATTAGTTATACTCATTACGGTTGTTGGGGACATTTTAAATGTAGTTCCTATGCTTAACAAAGTATCCTGTGTAGCCATATACCACAAGAATATTAAAATATGGCCATATAAACTCACTAGATGATATCCACCTGTATACGGTTTTGCTAATTTCTTTTTTCATCATTTCTGCTGAATCAATAAATGTTTTCTTTGACATGCGAAAAATTTAGAGAATCATAGCTACAAAGCCATGGTTTCATCATTAAAAAAAAAAATCTGAAAAAAACATTTCTCCCATGAATATTATGAAAGGACGAAAAAGCACCGATTATTAAGTGATAATAAAAATAATCACAGATTACACACGCGCTTTTCTAAAATAAACAACTTGGAACAAAACCGCGGTTAAAACCAACGCGTTCAAGCGATTCGTGTAACTGACGTCATCAACCCGTGTGTCATCTTGAACCATATTGTAACCGCGGCACATAACACAGAAATTTTGGTTATTCGCTTGGATTTGATTTTTAAAAAGAAAACATATCTTCACAATAGGAGAGCGCTGACGCTGACACGGAACAAGTGTAATCTAGAAATTTTTGAAGGAGAGAAAGGAGTATGACAATCAAGGAGGCCATAAATGCGCCCTACAATTGTAGGGACGACTGACGATACGGGCCTTAGCGACGATCCCAGAGTGGGTGCACCAAAAACGGCAGTTACCCAGGCATACGTCGATGCTGTGCGCAAACTCATCATTGAAGATAGACATGTGACATATCGCGAGATTGAGGCGTCGTTGAAGATCTCAAAGACCTCAATTCAAAAAAATTTACATGAAGAATTAGGAGTGAGAAAATTAGTTGCTCGTTGGATACCCCACCTGTTGACTGAAAAGCAGAAAGCAGCCAGGGTTAATTGGTGTCAAAAAAACGCTTGACCGTTTCAATTCCGGAAACTCAAAAAATGTGTACAGCATTGTTAGTGGTAATGAATCGTGGATTTACTGTAATGAACCAGAAAATCAACGACAGTCGGCTGTTTGAGTGCTCCAAGGTGAAGAAAAGCCAACAAAAGTCATCCGTTCTCGAAGTGTTTCGAAAAAGATGGTCGCGACATGTGTGTCAAAAGCGAGTCATATTGCAACAATTCCTCTTAATGAGCAAAGAACTGTTACTGCGGATTGGTATACCACCATTTGTTTGCCAAAAGTCATCACCGAGCTTCGAAAAATCAACCCCGAAAGAAGAATCATCCTCCACCAAGACAATGCAAGCTCGCACACAGCCCAAAAAACAAGGCAGTATTTAACGGAAGAAAACGTGGAATTATCGGACCATCCTCCATATAGTCCCGATCTAAGTCCTAACGATTTCTTTACTTTCCCGAAAATTAAAAACAGACTGCGTGGTCAAAGGTTCCAGTCACCAGAAGAATCAGTTGACGCATTCAAAAATGCCGTTTTGGATCTGCCAGCAAACGAGTGGAATAAGTGCTTCGAAAATTGGTTCGAGCGTATGCAGATGTAGATTAATCTTAGTGGAGAATACTTCGAAAAACAATAAAGTCATTTAAAACTACCTACCGTGTTGTTTTATTTCCATATGCAAAACTTAAAAGACATCCCATCCCTCGTATTGATAAAAGAAACGTTCCCTTGTCTCCAACAGAATTTCTGATCTAACTAACCTCTGAAAAATCTTTTGTATAAATAAATACTAAGATCTCGTGCAACGTTGGAATAAGAAGCTTGGATTCATGAGAAAAGCATACAGAAAAACTACGATGTATAGATTTTGGAAAATATTTGCGTTATCTACTAAAATCCAACTGGATAACAATATATGTATATATCCGCTCAAAATGCTTCAAGAACAGTTGCTGAGAGTACTCAATAGCAAGAGTGTTATATGGCATACAGAACAACACAGCGAGACCAAAAAAGTGCGATTTTATAGAAAAAAAACGTTCAGTGATTATGACAATTTTATTTCCGTAAATTCCCTTTTACTTTTTGATTACACAGATCTATTATTTTTAAAAATATACGGAGTCAACATGTTTTCTTGTCATTGCTCCAAAATGAAATTAGTTTTTCTTTCATGTTTCTTTAACGAAAACGTGTGACGTGTGTTATCGTGTATATATTTTTCTAAAAATATCCTTCTTAATAAATGAGGCATCAAAACGATGGATAACCACTGACTACTGCAATGACAAAAATAGAACTACTTTTACAAGATTTGGGGATAGTTCTTCAGAGAATTAGAGGATATAAATGGATAAATACAGTTTAACAGTGGTTCTAAGCTACGAATGCTATGATCCTCCCTTATAATGTATTCTCGACCTACACAAAAATTCACTGAAGCATATTGTTTACAACTCTTTTTCAGGGAAAATGCACTTTAACTCGGTCTTTTTGCTCATCCATACTATTTGTGGCTATTAGCTTTAAAAAAAAGAAACGAATTAAACTGACAATACTCGTTCATCAATTATATTCACTATTATACAGGGTGTCCGCAAAGTTGGGGTTTTCCTTTACACGACGTGTAGATCTTAAGCAACATAAGCAATTTTTCTTAGTACCATATACACCAATGTCTTAAGGGAACCGAGATAAAGCGCTCTGCAACATCAAAAATATCTTAATACCGTCCTGTAGCCGCAATCCGCGACATCACCGAGTGGTTCAAGGTCACTGGCTCAACCCGACGACAGAACTGGGTCGGGGTCATTGTGTCAGGTCAGTATGCAACCTTCAACCGATGGTTACGGTCACGCGTCATGGGGTGAATAACTTTCGCAACACTCATGTTTGGTCAGTAGAAAATCCGCACGCTGTCCGTCGGGCACATTTTCAACAAACATTTTCGGTGAATGTTTGGGCTGGCATGGTGAACGGTATGCTCATTGGACCATTTATTCTCCCAAATCGATTGGACGGGATGCAATACCTAGACTTTTTACGCAACATTTTGCCTTCCTTGTTTGCCTGCGTCTGCTCGGTAGCGCATCAGCTGATTTCATTTTCTGTTGGAGCGGTATGAGAGACGTACTTAGCCATTCTCGTCAACTGGAGAGTGAGTACTTTTAACTTTATTTTTTTTTACTTGGTCGCCTTCGTTTCACTACACATTACCTTTGTTATTTCAAGGGTAGTTGTTTTTGAAAAGGAAAACCCCAACTTTGCGGACACCCTGTATAACCAACTGTAAGGGTTTCTACGTTATAGCCGGAGAACAGTAAACGTACCAGTAAGAAAGTTGATTCAGATCCTAAAATCTATATTATGCGTATTTAAAGTATATAATTTCAATGTTTGCCAAATGAACAATGCTTTTTTTCACTGATATTCATTCGACTCTACGGCTTTATGCTAGGGTACAAGGACTTTCATAACCGGCAAACAACGAAGATACCAGAGCGGATGAAATGGTGCTTATACAAAGTTTATTTGTTCATAATGGCGTGGAACGTACAGAGTCAATCTACTTGGTGTCATTTTTTGGTGTTAAAATATTCCTTCGGAATAAAAATTTTGGAAAATCATTTTTTATTTCGAGTAATTTAAATTGTTCCTGTACCTTGCATCATTCCATCAATCTTCTCCACGTCCAAGGGCGGATTTAGGAATAAGTCAAGTAGGGGGGGCGCAGAGGTGGACGCAGCATTGTTTGATGGGTAGTGGCGATTGAAAATTAAAAAGCGGGGACAGGTATGGGTCCGGGTTTCAACAATATTTTACCAATTTCTTAACACAAATGCCGGCTTGAGCGTCTAGGGGGAGGCACGCGCCTCCTCACCCACCTCTAAATTTGCCCTTGTTCATGTCTAAATTATTACGCTACTGTTTCCTTATCAGATATTACCTCTTGAAATCTGGCTATCACTTTGCTATCACTGGTTATTCACGTGTTTCCTAGGCGTCTACAATATTTTTGTTACCAGTGTTTGCAGTTTTTGGTTATCGTTATCAGTACATCAATTTCTAGTTCAGATAAGAAATTTAAAATAGTACATTCCGTTGTCAAGACCCACTATGATTGTTTTTGTGACGTGTATGGTTATAACTATATGAACTATGAACAAGTTGGATGAGCATAGTTTGTGTAATTATAACGTCTAGTGATTCTTTCTGTTTACGGTTAAGTCTATTTATTTTTAGAACCATGTGCTATTAATCCCCATAATTGGGTAGGAGCAACTAACTTGGGGATATCCAGAGCTTTTTGTTTTGTGCATTAAATTATCTTTAAATGAATTTTGGTTTGGCTTAATTAACAACAGATTTAGAGAAATAATTCTAATGGACTGCTGAAATCATATATGCCCAAACAAATAAGATGCTGGTGTTTGATCATCATTTTGTTGTTTTTAGTTTCCTGGAGATTATCATTTCCTGGGGACGCAACAACTTGGCATAGTTCGTTTATTTTACGAGCATTCAAACGCTTGAAACGACGAGAATAAAAATGTTGCCTTGAGAACTTTTAAAAACTTGAGCGCATACACCTGAAGACAATTTTCACAAAAACTTGCGTATTTGCTTTCTCAACCAAAACCCTGAACTGCACAATAAGTAAGCTAAATTCCAGTAGTTGTTATTGAAAACATTGCTGATTGAGAATTCAGTTTTCCCATCAGTTAACAGCGTGAAATTTGATCTCTAAACAAAATCTACACAACCATTTACAGGCATAAGTAAATATTTCAGTTTTCCGATTTGGATCAATCTTTAACCTTCCTCTGACGCATTTGCACTCAATTAGTGCAATCGAATCAATATGCAGCTGGAAAAAGTAAACTGATACGTCTCTACGTCTATTTATATCTCAAACTTACACTCTAGTTTATCGCATTTGGATATATCTGGTCTGGTAGGTACTTGAAGTTCAATATGCCAGGTTTATTTATTTGTGGAGCAATTTTATCATACGTAGTATACGCTGCTCAGTTACCCATCCTTTTCAGGCCAATAAAACCACACGTATTGACAGATCTTCTTTATTGTAGTGAGAAGATCTGTCAATACATGTGGTTTTATTGACCAGGCAATCATGGGGGATTATCGACACGTAAATCACAGGATAACTTTCAGATGTTACATTATAGATACACTGGTTTCAAAAAACCCCCCTACTTATTTTATGAACGGCACGGGTATCACGTATCTTGAAAAGTGACATTATGCCGATTTTTTTTGACATGCTGTTTTTTTTTTGACACTATGTAGGTTTTTCGCCAAGACGTTGATTTAGCACTTAGTTGTACGTGTCGCCTAAACGTCGTGAAGCTTGTTATCAATCTTTGGCTCTGATGTGATGTAAAATCTGCTTCTGAGATGGCATTACCGGAGGTCTAAGCTGTAAGTTATATGTGTTGATGATAATTACATTAGGTTCTTGTCTCAAATACACTTAATTGAGAATCAAAGCTAGAAATTAGTTGCACATCCACTTTTTCTTATCCATTCTGGAAATTACATATACAAAGCTGATAAGAAATAATTATATCCACTGTACACTGTCGAATTACAAGCCATGTATATGCTAACAGTAATTACACACAACGTGGGCGAGGTGATGATTTCCCGTAATTCTCCTCAGTTTTTCGTAATTTATAACTTTGAGCAGAACCTCTCTTCAGAAAGCACAACATAAAAATAACCCATCGGGCATAGCCAATAGATATACTTCATTGCAGCATATTCAGCAATGATTTTCTCCCACAGCAAATATCACTGATTTTATACACATGCAGACCAATACACATAATCATCCAGATGCGATCTTGCTATTCAACCAACTTTTTTCTCAAAGATAAAAACTACAGACAAGGACCATTTGGCCTCACAAAACATATGCAACCAATAATGCATGTAGTTTAGTTGAGTGATTCCTCCTTAGATGGACGTTCCCAACGATCCTAGTGAGCAAACGTGGAATGACTGTTTGCGCCCTAAAAACTACCTAGTTTGCAAGATGACATCTTATAGGTTTTTTTGACGTTTTATAGGTGTTTTACATGATACCCAAGCCTGTCAAATTAGCAATAATACTGGAAGATGAGAACCTAAGGCCCGTATCGTATATGGCCTCCTTGATTGTCATAGTTTTGTGCTTCTCCGTGTCAGAACTCTATTTTGAGGTTATGTCACAAACATCTATTTGCATCAAATTGTGCTTGCTTTTGAGTTATATCATGTTTTATCAGCCTGAAATTTCCTACAATTTAAAAAGAAAACATATCTTCACAATAGGAGAGCGCAGACGCTGACACGGGACAAGTGTAATCTAGAAATTTTTGAAGGAGAGAAAGGAGGATGACAATCCAGGAGGCCATAAACGCGCCCTAAAATTGTAGGGACGACTGACGATACGGGCCTAAGAGTGGCAGCTCAAAATTTCAGGTGCTGGGTGCCATCTAGGAACATTTTTTATAGGATGAGCGATCGTGTGATACCCCGTTTGGAAGCTCATTATTATCTTCTCCATTATCAGTGGCGTATAGCTTGCTCCTCAGGGCCCCATTTCAAAATTTGCACCCAACTGTGACGAATCCCAAATAGGGGGTAGAATCTGAAGTAAGTACAGATTTTTAAAATAGAAACATGAGCTCTTACATTGAATGATATGAATTGTCACGTATTGACCATGGCGCCCACACGAAGTTTTCTCAGTCAGAGGGGGTGGATCATCGGCAAGAGATAACTTTCTGTAAAAATGTACCTGCTCTCAAAATTTTTAGAAGAGCGAGGGGTAGCAGAGTTTTTCTGTGTTTGTGCGGCAGGGGTGTTGGGCACTGCGAATGCAAAATTTTTAGAAAAACAGATAAATGTTTTTATGTTTTGCGATATCGACAACACGTAAATCCAAGTGAAATCATAGTAGGTATTTAACTTTCATCTAGCCGTACGGGTTAGCTTAGGTTTTTAATTTAGCGTGCGGCCTAAAAACTTGCGTTATTGTGGAAAACACTTCACCCATTTTTTATTCGTACGTGGAGCACCTGCAAGTTGGACGCCCCGTATCATTGATACGCCTAATACGGTAGTAGCTACGCCCCTGTCTATTATAATCCTAGAATATTGATAATCCTGATATCAGTAGACCATTTAGTTTTCGGAATTCTTATCTAGATTATCGATAGTTGGATAACGTGTGATATTTTCATCCGTGATAAGATAAAGTACCTAATTATTTAAAACTGCATCAAATTTGGACATGTTACTAGTCTTACATGTTACAACGCATAAATGGCCCTAGAAGGGGACGCCATTCCAATACCAGGCACTCTAGAACCTGCTAACAGTAACAGCAGTTTCGACATCCACAACGATTTCTACTATGAGCTTGAAAAAACTTACCAAAGCACCCAGTCCCTAAGTAAGTATGACAAAGTACTTGAAATTCCAACTAAATCATATATAAAATATTACTGTTGGTATTATTAGGTATACAGGGTGTTCCTTAATGATATGCGAATATTTAAGGGTGTGAATCTACATTAAAAACTAATGTTAGTTTGCTATAAAAACTATGGTCCAAAAATGTTTCCTCGGGGCGTTGAAGTTTTAGGAACAAAATGGAAATTAATTAACATTTTTAGAATCGCTTCAGATATTTCACTGATATTTAGTACGTAGTGAAAGTTAATAAAGTTGCATATTTCTCAATCCAAAAATAATTTTTAGCTTTAACAGTGGCGTGCGTACGGGTATTAACTTCGATATTTTTTAAGAGAAAATGGTACGCCAATGGTTTTTTGCCAAATAAAAATTATTTTTGAATTCCCCGTTCAATTTAAAACAAATGATTTATCTTGAATTGTTTTCCTTCGATGCGCCATTTTTGAGTAAAAAAATAAAAACCGTTCTATTGTCTATCTAGCAAAATTATTATTAATTTAATTGGAAAAGTTAGACACATTAGGGCTAATGAACAACAACAACTGACAACATAAACATAACATTAAAAGCAACGAAATGATTACATAAATTGTTGAAAATGGCCCCCTTCACTTAGTATGCATCCTTCCGCCCTCCTCATGGAATTGCGCACTCGTTGAAATATCTCTGAAGTGTTTTTATTCTATCACAAGCTGCAACTATTCTTTCTCTCTTAATTCCTCTACAGTGTTAATGGGACTTGTGTACACTAGTGTCTTAAGATAGCCCCACAAAAAGAAATCTAAACTGTTGAGGTCTGGGGACCTTGGTGGCCATTCTTGGGGCCCACCGCGGCCAATCCAACGATTTGGATAAACAGTTTGTAAATAATTACGAAGCTCTGCACTGAAATGCGCTGGTGCACCATCTTGCATGTACCACATATTATTTCTTATTACTAACGGAACATCATCAAGCAGCAAAAGCAACTGTTGTTGAAAATTGAGGTAAGTCTGTCCATCAAGTCGTCCCGGCAAGAAGAATGGGCTAATAAAGTGGTTGCCAATAATTTCTGCCCATACGTTAACCGAAAATTGGTTTTGGAAATGGGTTTCGGTTACGGCATAGGGATTTTCTTCTGCCCACAAATGATTATTGTGGAAATTCTGACTGGCATTTCGAGAAAAATTAGCTTCGTCCGTGAACAGAATCATTGATTCAAATTGTGGATTTTGTGTAATTTTTTGAAAATATCACTGGTCACACACCTTGGAAAATCAATGGGAAGTAATGCCTGTACCCTTAAAATATGGTAAGGATATAACAAAAAATCCACTAAAACTCTCCAAACAATTTGATGGCAAATATTTAAGTGTCTAGCCATCTTCCTCGTACTCGTTTCAGGATGTTCTTCGACTTCGTGCAGCACTGCTCCCTCAATTTCAGGTGTTCTCACTTTTAGAGGTCTACCTCTCCTCCTTTCCGAACAGAACCAGTTTCAACAAGACGACGAATATTAGAAAAGGTTCGACCATCTGGCAAAGCACGATCGGGATATCTCTGATGATAAATCCGTCTGGCTTGCTCACCATTACCGTCGGCAAGGCCGTATACGTAATGCATTTCCGCCATTTCTGCATTTGAATAATTCACCATTATTAATAAGATTGTAAAAACTAAATAATGAAAAAGATATCACAGCGAACAGATTTGAATAACAGAGACTTGTCAGATGTCAAAAGCCAGTGACATATTCCAGAGCAACTAGATATTTATTGCTAAACTGCATTCTTCAATTATTACATTGGTTTTTATTTTTTTTTCCCAAAAATGGTGCATCTAGGAAAAACAATTCAAGAGAGAACATTTGTTTTAAATTGAACGGGGAATTCAAAAATAATTTTTATTTGGCAATAAACCAATGACGTACCATTTTTTTCTTTAAAAATATCGATGTCAATACCCGTACGCACGCCACTGTTAAAGCTAAAAAATATTTTTGTATTTAAAAATATGCATTTTTATTATCTTTCACTATGAACTAAATATCAGTGAAATATCTGAAGCGGTTCTGAAAATATTAATTAATTTCCATTTCTTTGCCTAAAACTTCAACACCCCGAGTTTTTGTAAGGAAACATTTTTGGACCATAGTTTATAAAGCAAAATAGCATTAATTTTTTATGTAGATTCACACCCTTAAATATTCTCATATCATTTAAGTATGTACAAAACCACTATTTGAAACAAAAGAAAACTGTATGACGCTTAAATTTGAACCCAGAACTCTAGTAGCTCATATCAAATCATCTGGCATTTATGCCAGGTCACCCCGCGTGTAAGAAATGAGGCTTTAATCATGACTGATCCCATCACGTTATGAATTATTTTATTTCAAAAGATGCTGATGTAGACAGTTCGGTGAGATTTCAAGAACGAACCCATTTCTACACTGAGAAATTAGAGTATCCAAGACATGGCACCGAACCAGGTTTCATCTTCATCTTCAATCAAGAGACATTCTCGGAACGGTGTAAAAACAGACCGGGATCTACCAGAGATGTAAATGAAATCATTTTATGCTTGCAAAGATTAGGATTTAACATAGACAGGAATAAGAATATTTTGACTGATGGTGGAACTGAGGAAATTGTGGCGAAGTTGAAAGAACGTAAGTACGATACGATTGGAATGGTGTCAAGTAAATTGACTCGGTTACAAATTCCAAATAAATACAGGGTGACTTGTAATGTCACGTATTCCTCTTAAGGGGTGATAGATTAGGTCAAAAGCAACCGATTTTGTCCTATAATGTCCTATCCAGAAGTTAACCGTTTTTGGGTTATTTGAATTTTATTTTTTTTATTTTTTATTCCGATTTCAGACGGTTAAATTTGAAATACAAAAAACTACATGTTTGATTTTGAGTTTTTTGTTATCGTCGCATAGCGGACATTCCAATAGTTCATAATAAATAATAAAATGTTGAAAACTTATAAAAGTTTTAAAATTACGCTTTTGAAATGTATGATTTTCTTATTTTTTTTCTTATTCTATAAAAATACAATTTTCTGTAAAAATTCTCCTAGTAATAAAATGTGCAAATTATGTAAATAATATCTCTATCTAACAAGCTTCCATTTGAGGTATAAAAGTTACAACTAACTCAAGTACAAAGACATAAAATTAAAAAAAGATGAGTAAAGTTGTACGAACGATAATTACGTAGGATAAATAAAAGGCTTTTATTTTAATTAAAGTTTTATTTAATTATATTTCCTTTAGTATTTTACAGATTCTGCTCAAATTGTAATCCCCTGTTACGAATACACGCACGCATTCTCTTACGTAATTCACTTTTGGTAACTCTAGTTGTTAAGCGGCTTTTTATTTGGTCAGCTGCTCTGATTATCCTTGTAATTAATTCATCGCGCGTTGGTACGGGCGAAACATCGTACACCAGGCTTTTCATATGTCCCCACACATAGTAATTCATCGGTGTGAGATCTGGGCTTCTTGCTGGCCAGGCAATGGACCCGCCTCTGCCAATCCATTGATTTGGAAATTTAGAGTCTAAATACGCCCGTACTAATTACTGTAGTATGCGGGACAGCCATCGTGCTGGAACTGCATATTTTGTCTCGTCGCCAATGGGACGTCTTCCATTAATGGAAACAAGTGATTTTTCAAGAACTCTTCATACACTTCTCCATTTAAATTGGCGGGCAGAAAATGAGGTCCAATTAAATATCCATCAATGATGCCCATCCACACATTAACTGAAAACCGGCTCTTTATCAGTCCAGTAATGAGCATTATGGTAGTTAGTGATCCCGCCCTTATCAAACTTCGATTCATCGGTCCACAGAATTTTCTTAAAATAGTCTGTATCTGCATGTACCTGCAGAAATCTAATCGTCTTGCAGGATCGCCCTCTGCAATCACATGCACAGGCGTGTAGTGATAAGGGTATAACAGTAAACCATACTTTGTATTGTGATATATCCAACTGAGCAGCCACAATGCGCGTAGACGTAGTAGGGTCTTCCTGAAACACACGAAGGATTTCCTCTTCATCTTCGGGAGGATAGACTCGGGGTCGACCAGCATCACTGTTGCTTTTGAACACGTCCGGTTTGGCGGATGCGCCGATACACAGAGTGAAACACACTCTTCAAGTTTGCCCATGCTCGCTATGGCGAGGTCCTGGCGGATCTTCTGCGTCTGCCATGATGATAAAGACACTACTCGAAATGAACTGGGAAACTCGAAAATAATAATCGTGCGTAAAACGTGTGCGCGTACGCAGTAGTTGATACCAACTAAACCTAATTCTCAATCGGCGTGCGGTGATGGCGTAACTACAATGATGAATAATAACAGCTCTCTCTCTCTCTCTCTCTCACTCCTCCACTAAGTCAGCTGTTCTCGCTCGCTTCCTCGTCGAGCCGATGTCATAAAACAATCATGGCATGCGAGTCCTTTGAGGACAGTAACGACTTGTTCAAACAGGTAATACAAATTCCTTAAAAATCCAGCCTCTGTGGGTGTCATTGTTGTTTCTCTGAATGTACTTCAGATAATTGAACGCTTAATACCTCAAATGAAAGCTTGTTAGATAGAGATATTCTATACATAATTTGCACATTTCATTACTAGGAGATTTTTTACAGAAAATTGCATTTTTTATCGAATAAGTTAGTAAAAAAAAGAATATGATACGTTTAAAAAGCGTAATTTTAAAACGTTTCTAGCTTTTCAACATTTTATTACTTATTATGAACTATTGGAATGTCTGCTATGCGACGATAACAAAAAACTCAAAATCAAGCATGCAGTTTTTTCGTATTTCAATCTTAACCGTCTGAAATCGGAATAAAAAATAAAAAACTTAAAATTCAAATAACCCAAAAATGGTTAAGTTTTGGATAAGACATGATAGGACAAAATCGGTTGCTTTTGACCTAATCTATCACCCCTTAACAGGAATACGTGACATTACAAGTCATCCTGTATAACAATAACATTTTCAGTTGGATCTATGAACTTCTCACAATACAATTCGTTGATGATCTTTTTCTTATCACACGGACATCGATTTGATTTCTTAGAAACCAGTGATGGAATAATACGTGTTGATGATATTATGGGACCTTTTCGTGCAAGCAGAACGTTGAAAGATAAACCTAAAATCTTTGTATTTCAGGTAAAGTATGCATAATTATTAAAACTAAAGTAAAATGTGTATAATTATGTCGTATACACAATCCGTTAAGTCTAAACTAGTTTGACGATTTCGGTCAAAGCTTGGAGCACTTGTAAGCGTCGGACATTGACTGCTGACTGTAGGCTTACTTTACAGATAGATAGCGCACATGTCTATGTCGATAATGTCATCGGATTGTGTTCGATAATATACGCATGTAACATCTGATGAAAATGTCGATAATATTATTTATGGTATTATAGGCATGCAAAGGTGACGAATATGTTGCAACAGGTGAAGTGAAGCCTCCTCCCTCGCCTTTAGCATCGGAAATTGTTTTTCAGGATTCCTACATTACGCCCGACACATTGATTGTATTCGCTGCTATAGAAGGTAAGAGTTATCTGTAATTTTTCATTCTATATTTTTTAAGTAAACTCGCCATTTGAGGTGTTCAGCCAAAAAACAAAACATGGGCTTCAAAATTTTCCTATATGCAAAGTTTCCATTATCGCCCGTTATCGAAGCCTATACTTTAGTATCATCGTGTTCGCGCCGAAAAATATTCTGATTCGGTTTTTTTGCACAATCTTATTAAAAAAGGAGCCGATTCAACGAGTATGCATTTTGCTAGGCCCAAAATTGCGTCAAAGAGTTTTTGAACATTTCTTTAAATTGGTTTCAAAGTTTTTGTTTGGCTTTTTGCATCATTCTGAGCAAAAAAGGTTCTCGATGAGTGCGCTTGATTAACAATTGAAAAAAAAAGGTCTTCGCGAAAAATACTGCCTAAGACGCTTCGAGATTTTATTTATGGATATTTAAAGAATGTTTAATGGGAACTTTGGCAACATTAAAATTTTCGTTTTTCATATTGTTTTTCGGGGTCGCAAGTAGCATATTTCGCACTTTGACAAATATTAAAACGCTTATAATCTCGGAAATTTCGAAAACTATGAATCTTAGAAAAAAGTTCAACATCAACCTTTTTTGGTGCCAAAAGAAATAATAAAAAACTTATTTACTCGGAGCGAAACAATTACTGGAATTTGTTAAAAAAAGTACTTACGCAATTTCTGATTGGTTTTGGGCCTGGCAACATGCAGATTCGTTAAGAGGGGTCTGTTTGGATGGCATTAAGCAAAACGACGAGATCAGAATATTTTTCCGAGCAGATGCAAAGATACTTTCTACCTTGCTAATCTGGAATGCTGAATTCAAACTGATACGCAGGTAAGTAACTATTAAACGACTTCTTAAAGAGATCGTATGTAACGCATAGTTTTTTGAGGAAACATATATTTTTATCAGGCAAAAGTTCTATTTTCACCAAGCATTGCGACAAGTGAGAATGGAGCTTGATTCGCTTAAGCAATTTGTAGCGTCAAATTTGAATATGAGAAGAATGAATTTAATAATAATAATAATAGCCTTTATTTAACCTGGCGGGTATCAGCTAAAAGCTGCTTTTCCAACCAGGACCAAATTATAATACAAAATTTGGGGAGATATAAACAATGTTGTGTTGAATAACAATAATGGAAAATCTATTATAACAATAAGCATTTTTTCAATTAAAAAAAAATCAGTTACATTCACAGATAACAGATACACCATTACAAAAGTTAAAAAAAAAATGACAAGGAATTATGATATATTTTCAAAAACAATGTTTTTTTACTTTTAACCTGAAAAGTGGAACAGATAAGTCTTTAAAGCTGGCAGGGAGCATATTATAGCGATAGGGTGCAACAAAAGAGAAACTCTTCTATACCCAAATAGGCATGTTCTGCCATCTGCCTTTAGAAAAAAAAAATGAAGCCCTTCTATCCATTTTCAATCATTAAACATCATTTGGATGGATATTTGGATCAGTTCACTAAAGGCAGTTGGAAGTAAAATGAATAGTTGGATGACTGATTCACTTCATATGAATGCTCATACAAGGTGCGTTTTTAGTGCTCGATGAATAACTCCGTTATTACTTATAGTATCTAAAAAAGTAAATCATAAAAATTGAAGCCAACAGTATGGGGTTTTATTTCTAAATTGTTGAGGTATTGAACAAACTATCGAAAATAAAAACAACTCTGTCATCTCGTACCTCCGCAACTGTTACAGCTAGATTACTGAATTTTCCTTCAAGAAAAATTTATGATCGCAAAAAGGAACGATTTCTCAAAATTTGCAAATGGAGCAACCTGTATATTTTCACCTTTTGATTCCCCTTTTCACAAGCTTCTTTTATATAGAATTATGGTAGTTTGTACGAATCGTTTTTGACTTACAGTTAAACTTTTTGCAAATCGGACATTAAGGTAACACCTTTTAAAATAAAAAAACGGCAGGTAATAGAATTTGAGTAGTTACATTATAAATTAAATCTACCTAACCTTATGCAATAAAGTCAGAAAGTCACCGAGGTGTCCGTGTATTTTTAGTAACTCAAATCAGTTGTGTATGAACGTTATATTAGAAAAAAGCCTGTGTAAAGAGGAATTAAAAAGTGTGAAAGTATCCATAGTCCATTTAAAAATCGCTCATTTTGCGATTTGATCACCCTGTATAAACTATCAAAAAAAGTAAGTGGACATGGAGAAAATATGGGATCATAAGACGAAAAATTTAGTTCTTTGTAACAGTTGCTGGGAGTGCAAGTTGAGTGTTTTTCGATATATTGCCAAATATCTCAAAAATCTGAAAATTAAACCCTATAGTATGTTAAATAAAATTGCTTCGTTTGGAAAAGCCTATCCACATCTGCAATGAAACGTAGATATTTCCATTTAAAAAAATGTATGTTCGGGTTACCACGTAGTTAAGCATATTAATAGCTACAATTTTTGTTTTTAACTTTTTTAGATACCATGCGGAATAACGGATCGACCACACTAAAAACTCACCCTGTAAATTTGACTATATATACAGGTATATATAAAGAGAATATGATCATGCGGAGAAAGGTATATAACAACAAGTAGGAAAATAATGGGCAAAATCAGGCCCAAAAAGGATGCACATATGAAACTACAAAAGTAGAAACACATGCCCACACATCCGGATACGGGTGTAACCTGAGGAAACAGCAGTCTATCAAAATTCAATTACCATTCTTAGTTTTACATATCTTAAATAATGTTCTTGTTAAAATTACTGTTTGAATTTCAACCCTATAGCTATAATAAAATATACTGTGTCTCATACTCTAATTATCGAAGAAATCGAAGACTGACGATCCATTGTATGAATGTCAAAATCACCATTCGCACGCGTGTCATAGTGATACATACGGATCATAGAAAAAAGTTGTAGGGTTTCGAGGGGAACAGTGATATGACCTTGACCTCGTCCTTAAAGCTCACGCGAATATTTTGAATTGTTACCCCCATTTTTATACCGGATTTGGATAGAGGAGAACATTTTACGACCATCAAGGCCCTTTTAAGGTCAAATCAAGACATTAAAAATAATTTGCTGTAGCAATAATGATCAACAGCACACGTGTGAACTTTGTGGAGGTCATCCAAAGAAGACGTTGATCATATCCTTGTCTGTCATCTACAAAATTTTAAACGTTTAAATATAGAATTTCTTGCTCTCTACAATTTTGCCATAAAAGTCGAGGTGTTGTCATACAAACAATATTCAAGATTGACGTGATCGTGACTTTGAGGTCAAATTCACATTTGAGCGTAACATGTTTTGCTTTTTCCAATTCCAGAATAAAAATGAGGGATTCCCTTTGAAAATTTTGACTTGACCTTGAAATGGCTTTGAAGGTTATATGGTTGTGTTCAAGATCATATTTGGTTGCAGAATTTCCTCCTGTTTCCAATTCCGGTGTAAAAATGCGGGTTCCGTTTGAAAACACTCGCTTAACATGGATATGACCTTGAAGGTGGTGAAGGTCATTGTTAAGGTCACTATTATTTTATCGTCTCGAAACCCTACAACTTTTGTTCGAAACTTTTTTCTAGGATGCGATCGAAATATTTAGGTGGAGAAATTGAAAAGGGGCACCCTATAACCTATTTCTCGAGTATCCATCACGCTTTGACGTCTACTGAGGTGAACAGCTGATCAGCAAGTGGCAGTTTTGTGTTAGTCTGCAAGGTCGGCAATAATGAATCCAGTGTAAATCTAGTAAAACCTGTTTTTAGTGTTCTGTTTTTTTTTTATGCAAATGAACTTTTCTAAACAAAAGAGCTTTTAGCAAGTACAAAATGAATCTGTAGCGTACAAAAAACCAAAACAAAATATGGCTCTGTGTACCTGGTATTGACGGACCCGTCAGAAGTGTGTCCTTTGCCGATATGGGGAATGTTGAAATATTACTAGATATCAGCTGTTAGTCTACCGTAATGAATACTCGTGAAAAAGACTACACATATATATATATAGAGAGAGAGAGAGAAAATGATCATGCGGAGAAAGGTATATAACAAAAAGTAGAAAAATAATGGGCAAAATCCACAAAAAGAAGAAAGTGGATTCGAGCAGAAAATAGGATAGGTAACCCGAGCGATACATATTTCTGCTGGTTGGCTTCATCAGGCCCGAAATGAATGCACATATGAAACTACAAAAGTAGATACACATGCCCACACATCCGGATACGGGTGTAACCTGAGGAAACGAAGATGGAGAGGGAAAAACGACACACGAAGTCCACAACAAGAGTCAACCTACACATTGTAGTATAACTTCGTTTCCTCAGGTTGCACCCGTATCCGGATGTGTGTCGTTTTTTCCCTCTCCATCTTCGTTTCCTCAGGTTACACCCGTATCCGGATGTGTGGGCATGTGTATCTACTTTTGTAGTTTCATATGTGCATTCATTTCGGGCCTGATGAAGCCAACCAGCAGAAATACGTATCGCTCCGGTTACCTATCCTATTTTCTGCTCGAATCCACTTTCCTCCTTTTTGCGGATTTTGACCATTATTTTCCTACTTGTTGTTATATATATATATATATATTTCTTTTGCCATCTTTATTTCGTATTTATATGCTTAAGCGGATGAATGAATATCTTTAGCTAAACTTCACCATAATGAATCCCACTTATGTATATATACAATGTAGACAGAAACGATATTATTGTTTTTTTTTTCAATTTTCCAGGTACACAAGCATACCGCAATCCCGTGCTGGGATCCTGGTTCATCCAGGAAATGTGTAGGAATTTTTCAGCGTACGGCAGAAAGGAAGATATAATCAGCTTATTCACCAGAACTACCAAGTGCGTTTGCGGAAACTATTACTTTTCGTTAGACAACATTACTTACAGGAAGCAGCTACCAATGCTGATATCGACTCTGACCAAGAAATTCTATTTGAACAAGAATAAAGACAGACACTTCTTGCTGCATTATACTGAAAAGATGCATGACGTTATAGACCTCGTAAGGGAGATTAGGGAGTGTCTCACACCCACGTCATCATCGTCTTCAAGCAACTCGCGGGCTGCATTAAGAGAAAAATTAGGATTGAAGGATTTTAAACATGTAACATTGTCATAAGGGAATGCTTTTTCTCCCATACACAATGACATCTAGGATTTCAATGTGGCGTTTTGTCTGTCCTCCTCAATCATTAATTTTATTCATCTTATAGACCCCATAGTCGATTTTTGCACAGGTGAATAAATTTTTTAATTCCGATTGCAAAAATATATAATATGCATATGTCATACGATAACAATATCAAATCCACGTTACGAGTATTTAAAAAACAAATATCAAAAATTTACATAGTTAGCTTACGTCAGCCTTAGATTAATAGTTTTTGAATTGAATGATGTGTGCATCGGTTTAGATATGACGGATATATGTAAAATGTGTTTAGGGAGCTGCTATATCGTCGGGGCATTTCTTTGATCCAAAATTTTTCTATCAGTTATATGGAATAGTACTGATTTCAATGTTTACACTACGACCCTTAACAGTTTTAGCATCAGGTTGTTCTTTATTCAATGAACAACTATAGGGAGATTACTTTTTTAGTCACTTGAAGTGATATGCCATGATATCTAGAATCTCTCATTTAAAATAAGAGTAAGAGTACTGTTGACCAATGCCTGGTACATAAAAAGTAAAGGAATGCTTGACTGATGATATGAAACAAAGTATCTGATATGTTAAGAAATTCAGTTACTTTGAAATAACTCAATGTCAATGTATGAAATGCATTTTTGGAATCAGAATTATAACGATCCTCATTTCTCTGACCAATCCAAGCCACGTGTGTTGAAAAAATCTTCTTTATTGCAAATGTTTCAGACACAATGGTGACCTTCCTCAGTACAATGTTTTTTATTTAATCCATATCGTATGCGACTTAGGAGAGACCCTTTCCAATGTGACGAAAAAGCAAAGACCTAACATAACTATAGGTACTAAACAAATATATCTGAGAAACAAATAAAGACATGGCAAATGCAATACCTATACAAAAAAAAATAATTGAACCACTGATTTCAATGAAGCCTTCCATTTATATGGCAAATTAAATGTATTTAAAAAATATACGATTTCCTTCATTACAATAAAAATTTACAACCGACCGAGGAAGTCCGTCTCAGTGGTGCGCGAAGTTGACGTTTTCCAGTGAGCAATCGCAAATCACAGTTTTGCCAATCTAGAGCGGCAAAGCAACAAAAATTGGTTGTAGTAGAACCAATGGTAGGACGTTTCTTCTTTTCAATTTTACAGCTTTAATAATGGAAGAGGTAAATTGCTAAAGCAGAAACTAGTGCAGCTTTCAAAATGTTTCCCTGCTTCACACTTACTTCTCGTGCGGCAAACCGATACTTTGCATTCTTAATGCACAATTTCCTCTCTTATTTATGAGTGCATTATAACGTATATTCATTTAGTTAACATCAAGCTTTCCCGCATCTTTTATTTTTAATACGAATATATAATTATCAAGTAACCAAATAAGTTCGTGCGGTTGCTGTATATCGCACATTGCCATGGATGTTGTTGATCGATAGCGATTGTTTGTTACCTGTTGTCACTTTAGTATGAATCCTTCTTTTCTCACACACACATAAAAAGTTGCTGAAAATTGTCACATACCTAGTTTTAATAATTGCAAATGGCGACGAATAAAACTGTAATTCGAAGTCGTTTAATGTATGAGTACAAACTTGGTACAAAAGCTGTAGCAGCGGCGCGAAAAATATGTAGCGCATTCGGAGATGATGCCGTTAGTGATGGAACAGCACAGAAGTGGTTCAAAAAATTTTCTTCGGGAGATCTCAGTTTGAGCGATGAACCACTCTCAGGGAAACAAAAATTAATAACAAGGATCTTCGACAGGTTGTAGACGCAAATTCCAGAACAACGTGCCAAGAACTTGCAGAAATGTTCAGAGTGAGTCCTGAAAATATTCGTTTGTATCTTCATCAGCCAGGAAAGACGTGGAAGTTAAGCAAATGGGCCCCACATGAATTGACAAATTATAACAAATTAAGTCGTCTTACCATTTGTTCAGCAAACATTTCACTCAATGCTCATGAACCATTTCTTAATTGGTTATTAACCTGGGACAGAATAAGGATCTTGTATTTGAATTCTAAGCGTTCGTATCATTGGTTGTCGCCTTCTGATTCGGTACCACACACGCCCAAGGCCTCCTTGCACCCAAACAAGGTTTTGTTGCGTGTTTGCTGGACAGCAACTAGAATTGTCCATTATGAGTTTTTGGAAAGGGGTTCAACCATCACTGCTAACTCGTATTGTGAGCAGCTTACCAGCTTTTTTTTGTCACTTGACAACTGTATAAGGCACCAACAGTTCACAATTCTAGATGCTGCAATAAATGCAGTCCGCCAATTTTTTTACTCCAAGTCCAGGGAGTTCTACAACCGGCATACAAAAATCGGTTCCATGTTGGCAAAAGGTCATTAAATGCGATGATAATTACTTCGACGAATAAATAGTGTCGTATTGTTTCTCAATAAAAATTTATATTTTTCTACTAAAAGCCGCACGAACTAATTTGGTTACCATAGAAACAAACTTATTTTATAGCATTACCCAATACATTTTCTTAATATATTGCCATATTGATCCATTATCAATGAAGAATACTCTGATCTGTTAAGAAGAATTAGAGATGTTTTATGATTTTTTAATTCACCTCTATAATGACTTGTCTATTATATTCATTGTTTGATCAATAACATACTGCCAAAGTTATTATCTTTCACATGAAATACTAGAAAAATGTCAAAACCAACAACTATCAAAGATGCTATCAAAAGATGGGAAGAAAAGCATCCTGGGGAATCTATAAGTGAAGCAACAGAAGTAGGATTTCAGTTCCAATGGCCTCCTATAGAAAAAATGGATAACTCTTTATCAGCCTTAACAAAGGTTAGGAAACTCAGTCTATCTACAAACATGATAGAAAAAATAGCTGGTTTGAGTGCTCTGAAGAATCTGAAAATCCTCTCCTTGGCAAGAAACTACATCAAATCTTTCTCAGGCCTTGAAGGTGTAGCTGACACCCTTGAGGAGTTGTGGATCTCCTATAATTTGATTGAAAAAGTAAAAGGTTGTCAGGTCTTGAAGAAGCTAAAGGTTCTATACATAGGCAACAATATGATAAAAGAATGGGGAGAATTTATCAAGTTCCAGGACATGCCAGCGTTGGAAGATATTCTATTCATAGGCAATCCTTTGGCAGACAATATGGATGAAGCTTTATACAGAAATGAAGCTCTGAAAAGATTACCCAATCTGAAGAAATTAGATGGTGAACCTGTTGTAAGGGATGATGAATAGCCAAGTTTCTTTATAACCTTTTATGAAATAAAGTATGTTATGAAAAAACATATTTATTCAACAAATATAATTGTACTAGAGCAGACAAAAATAGAACCTGTCTGATCAAGAATTAAAAAAAGTCTATACAAGAAATGCTATTTTTTGAACACTTTATTACTACATACGACCCCTTTCTCTCTGGATTCTTAAGCCATACGCCTTGGATATCATGTTCCAGGAATCCATATACCTGTCCATACACATTGCTACACATTTCTGAAACCATAAACGTCAATTTCGATATATTTAAGCTATTTAATATTTGAACTCACCTGTTCTGAGCTATCTAACGACGTTCCTGGTTTATTTACACATTTCTTAAAACATTTTTCAGTCATTTTCTAGGAAAAAGAGCATAGTCAAAAGGTCGTTCTGATTATATACCGCTAAGCAACTCACCGTCAGTAATTCTTGGGCGTTTGCAACAGCTATTTGCTGCTTTACTTGATCCATCAACTCATCTCGTTGAGCCCCTGTCAATGAGTTGAGGTTATCCATTTCTACTTCAGTCTAAATTGTCTTCAATTATAAGAAAATTTTCAAAAATTAAGAAAAACCATTAAAAACATCAAAATAAATTAAGGTTAATTTGACAATTACATCACAGGATAGCACATGTAACACAAAATCATAGACGCGCGGAATGTCAGTACCACCTCTATATATTTTAGATGAGACAAGTATACATAGTTAATTGACGTTTCCACCTCTACACTCACATGTTGAATGGTTACATGAAAACAAATTGTGGCCCGAGTAAAGATGAAATGGCAACGCAAGACAACTATTGAAATATACTCTACCAGACTATCCGTAGCAAAAATGTGCATATCAAGATTGGAAAACTGTCGCATTGACGTTCTAAATCAACCGTGGTTACCCATGGATAGACATACGTTTTGAAAGTTGATATTATCATTTTTGTCACCTTGATTGCGGCGTTGCCAGGTGAAGTTGAGAAAACACCTTTGTTTATAAATAAAAAAAATGTAACGTGATACATCGTTGAAGTACTAGAAAAAGCTGCTATTAGATACAGCGTAGCACTTTTTTAAAAACACCATCATGTAGTGCCTAAATAGTGGCATTAGTTTTTTGAAATTTCTTAAAATCAAGTCAGACAAAAATAAAAACGATTTGGCCAAATTTTAGTTTTTCCCAAATACCTCAGTAAATGACTAATTTCTGAGTGTATGCAATGTCAGGAATTTATTTAGTAAAACATAGGATGTCAACCATGACAAACAAGTATATGAGTATGCAAGGCTCACCTAGTTTCCTTCAGACGAGTTAGAGTTAGAAGTAGACCTAATTTCCACTTTGGAGACACTTGACACCCACGTCAAAACACCAAGGCACCATAGAGAGACAATCGAGAACCCTATAGTGAATACCACTACTGAAAAAAGGTAGCTAAACCGAATAGAGCTCCGTACGGAGCTGTGAACGCGTAGACATTCTGCTGCGCCGACGGTTGCCGAGAGACTGAAACGTGCGAGTGCTGTACCTCGCTGTGGCGATACGGTACGGCCGGGTAGTACAGCCACGCCCCTTTCCAGCTCCCACTCCGCGCGTCTTCTCCCGAAGCGACTCGATGTTTACGTTGATCGGATTTTTCTTTAGCTGATACAATTAATCTTAGCAGTGACGGTTGACGTTTTCTAGGGTTTTCCTCGCCCAAGTGCGAATGCAGTCACTAAAAAACCATATTCCCCTACTAAATAGAAGAGAGAATGAAAATCGTACTTCTCCTATTAATGATCATGTAATTTTAAATCAAATACTTGATATATATAAATATTTATATAATAAAAAATTGTTTTTTTTTCAATTGTCCCGTATTCAAAAAGTATTTTAAGCCTATAAAACTGGGCATTTATAAAAGTATTCAGAGACACTAACGTTCCGCCGCATAGACGCCAGGCGACGCAAAATGTAAATAACAGCTTTTTTTCGCTTGTTAGCAAAGATTGCTACGCCACAAATTTTATGTCACCGTTGGTATCCCTCAATGTTTTATTCAAACCTTTTTTATATAACATTTTAGCAAAATAGATGTAGCAAAATTGTCCGATGAGCTGGCAATGCAGCAATCTAGGTGACAAGGTCAACTGCTAAAATGTATGTCTATCCCGGGGTAACGACCGAGCCATATAGTACGTCAAAGCGCCAGTTTTCCAATCTTGAATGTTATCATAGCTAAAAAGCCATGGTTCCATCAATAAAAAATTTTTTCTGAAACAAAAACATTCCTCCCATTAATATTATGAAAGTTTTCTTTTTTTCAACTTTCCATACCCCGTTGTAGACGAAAAAGCACCGATTATTAAGTGATAATAAAAATAATCAGAAATTATATACGCACTTTTCTAAAACAAACAACTTGCAACAAACCGCGGCTAAAACCAAAGCGTTCAAGCGATTCGAGTAACTGACGTCATCATCCCGTGTGTCATCTTGAACCATATTATAAACCGCGGTACATAATACGGAAATTTTGGCTATCCGCTTGGATTTGATGTATAATGAATCATCGTGTAGGAGGAAAAAAGGCGTGTAATGTTCTATTATTTTCAGTCACGCTCTGGTTCACACAACCATCCTATGTCTAGCACTTGTAGTCTGTGATACATATGATTCTCTATCTCTTGTTCCGTTGATATGTTATGTTCTTTTCAATTTTGGTCCGTGTTTCCTGTCAATGTGAAAAACTTCTACCACCAAAAAAACAGAATTTTTGGAAGAATTTCCATCAAATTTTCGAACGATGTCCTCATTGAACGATAGCAATGACGTCTATTCACAAAATTACAACGCTACATCTGGCCTGTCTGGTAAGAACTTTTAATGAACTCACAAAAATGCATATAACCTAAAAGCTGCGATTATATAAATTCGGAATATTCCAGGAGGAGAGTTCAAGCCATTCTCTTCACCCTATCTAAACTTTGATCCGGGGTATATACCGCAAAATCAACCAGAATTTATATTCCTGGATGGTGGTAGTAAACAAAGAGGCAGATTTGAGTTAGCCTTTGGCCAAATCGGAGGATCATGCATGATAGGGGCAGCAATGGGAGGAGTTAATGGATTTTACAATGGACTGAAAGCTACAGCTGCTGCAGAACAAACAGGAAAACTCAGAAGAACACAGTAAGTAATTTAACATTCAATAAAAGAGCTAATTTTATAAGGTTAATGCCTTTGAGGGTCTCAACTGGTTCATAGTGCATTGGCCCTAGCTGGAGCTTATGAATGTATTCTGTTATTTTTTTCCAATGTTCATTTTTTTAAGTGCAAATTGTAGATCAAGGTGAAACTCAATCTTTTTTAGGTTGTTAAATCATATTATGAAGAAAGGCAGTGCTACAGCTAACACATTTGGTTCAGTAGCTGTAATATACTCAGCTTTTGGAGTTATCTTATCTTGGGTCAGAGGGACTGATGATGATCTAAATACAGTGGTCGCTGCTACTGCCACAGGATGTCTGTATAAATCCACAGGTAAATCAAATATTTCTGTCCCAAAGAATATCAAAAGCTCCAATTCATTAATGATAAACTTGGGTAATGTATTGATACAGTTTGTTTCATTTTGTTTTTTTGCTTTATTTACCTGTAATATACCAATCTCAAAAAACATCAGCATTCCTATATAATCTAGTGTGTCACAGAATTTAATTTTCAGAAATGATAAGAGGACATTAAAACATGTTTTATTAATAAACTAATTTAACTAGATATATGAGAAGAAATTTCAGTTACAATAAAAGTAAAATAACTCAAGAAATGCTAGATTTTAGTAATGTTCAAGAACATTTAAAGTATAACTGCTTTAAACTTTATATAAATTGTTGGAAATTGTAACCACAATTGATATAAAAGTTATAACAATGTTTAATTGCCTGCCAAAATCTTCAAAATAATTGCAGAAGATCATGAATACATCAAGACCAGTACAATTGGAGTCACTAACTCTTCTTTGAATGATCTTGTAAATGATAATGAATACAAAATATGCAGGTCACAAAATCAGCTCACCTCTTCCAATCAATCCATTTGGATATTGTGTATTTGGATAATTTTGGTAACTTAATCCAGTGTGTTGGTGCACAATCATCATGGAAAATAATGTTTGCTTGCATATTAAGTGGTAGAGTATGTTTCAAAAAAGTCATCAGGCCCAAATATTAACAGAAAATTTCCAGTGATTATGTAACTTGTCAATGGCTGTAAGGGCTTTCTTCACTGGGATAATCAGTTGGAATTAATGATTGAACTTTTTGAATGTGAAACAGATGTTGCTGGTGTTCTGTTAATACCCTTCATATGTATATGTGGCTTGTATTCATCACATGGGAAATGGCAAGAGTGCTTGTATTTGAGTTATCTTCAAAGTGTTTTAAAACTTTGTCCTCAAAGGCAACATTTTGGATAGTACAAATGGCTCCTCCATCTGTTTACTCCAACTTCACCAGTACCCGAATATGCTTATCCAACCATGAAAATGATGTATCAGGGAATGTGAGGCTGAGGATGCTGTTCCAAATAAATTTGCCTTATCTAGTAAGAATTACCATATGCATGTCTGCAAATTCAATATTTGTAAAATTTTCAATCAAACATTAATGTATCTTACAGATTAATTTGCGACGTGTAAAGTGGAAATTGAACATATTTATTTAACAACAAAAAAAAATGTTCTTAGGTTGGTTGACACATAAATTAATTAAGTGCCCTCTGTCATTTCTGAAAATCAGAAATAGTTATTCTGTGACACCATATATGATGCACATATCACTTCCTAAATTTGATCACAATTTCAATGGCTACTAGGATCACATTATACTCATTGATTAACATATTCTACCTGAAGATAACCAAACTAGAGCTGTATTCCCCCATCCATAAAATTATCTGATATAAAATGTTACACCTGTTTCTCTATTATATATACTCTGAAAATGTTAGTGTCATATAGATGATGCTGTCTATATGACCATCATGAAGACTAGAGAGGTTAAACTCATGAATTACAGCTTCTGCACATGCAGTATCTCTCTCTCTCTGTCTAGTCTTCATGATGAGCACAGTGCCATCTTTGAGACTAACCTTTTCAGAGTATATATTGAAAATAAAGAAACATCTCTGATAAATTCTTACAGGTGATGCTATGGTATCTCATTCTGTCAGATAATTTTTTTCGACGCGGGAATATAGCATTAGGTTGGCTATCTTCAGTTAGAATACCCTAATCCATATTATAAAATAAAGCTGCAGACAGACAAATGGAAATAATGGTAGTTTTTCACTGTACTTGTAACATTTTTTTCCAGCTGGCTTGAGAAGATGTGCTTTAGGAGGAGTAATAGGTCTAAGTGTTTCTGCACTTTACGCTTTATGGAACAACAAAGAAAGACTATCATCTATGCGGCAGTTTAATCCAGCGTAAGCTTTACAGCTAGTACTTTTTCATCAATTTCTCATAGATAGGCTCATGAAATATGAATTAGGAGACTGCGCAATTTTAATGACAAACATTTGCAGTTTCTCAAATTCTGATAGTTGTTTAACGTCTAAGTAGTGTTACATCAGAGTTTTTTATGCTGCCTGTCTTTATTTAGCAAAAAACTTACAAAAATTAGGAAAGTTTTGTAAATTGCACTATATGTAACAAGCTTATCCTAATTTCATGTACACTTGTGCTGTGATCAATATTGTTAGGTATAACCTGATCTGTTTTAAATAATAAAATCTACTCAGAGTTTGAAGTTTTTTTCACTAACAAGTAACATTTTAATTTTCAAACCTAATGAAAAAATTCTTATTTGACAGGCAAAGGTAATGGAAGAAAGGGTAGCTACAGTTCCTGGATTTAAAATGATACTTTGTGATTTGAAATCGTCCTCCTTGTAAATATATTTTCTTAATTTAATGTTATTTTATTGATATTGTATACTTATTTTAATAAAATTAGCTTTTATAATTTAACGCCTGGATTCTCGGAATATAGAAAATCTTGCCTACTATTCACTTTATGGAATTATTTAAATCTACAGGCTCTCCAGAAAATCTAATTGGTTGTTCTTTCGTTGGACGTACAGCGCCAAAACAATTCTAAAGTTTCCATATTGATCAAAAAAGTGCTGCCGCTGGCAACAAGTCCAGTGGAGCAAAGATGTCGGATTTGAATCACAAACAAAACATATTCACTGATTTGAATGCTTGTTTCTATTTATGGATTTGATCAAGTCCTCACCATTAGAGATGATCGATATATCGGTACCGGCGACCTTTCCCGGTGACTTGAATGGTCGCCGTTAGTCCCGGCGACCTGATTCTCCATGAAGCAGCGACCCAGATCGCTGTTTGGAAGTATCGGTATCGGTAACCACTGATCGGTAGCTGTAACGCTGTTTCGGTCGCGGTCGCCGCCAGGAAGCATATACACATCGTGTTCGCGATCATCGCGCGGGAAGTACAAGGTCGCTACAGCGTAGCCTAACCTATTTTGTTAGTTTTTATTTTTATTGTTGTGAGTTCTTGTTTCATAGAAAAATGTTTCGTTTATTAAGCAATGTTTAACATATAAAAGAAGCATTTTTATACTACATTTGTTATGTTTTAAAAGTTTTATTTTGACTGGTAAAATAGTATTTTGTTTTACTTTTTAAGATTCATAGAAAGATATTTTATGTATTTTTATGATTTTATGTGTTTTGTGCTCAATATTGTTAAAAACAAAAACCTTAAATATAGTTTAATTCAAATCTTCAGGAACCTGTACATCTACACCTCCTTAATATCAATGGATAACCGCCGCCAAATATCGAGTAATTTAATCAGCGCCAGGGAGTCGCTGGCTGCTGGCAGCGACCATAGATAAGCAGTGACCTAAAGCGCTGCTAAATCTACCGGCGACTTTAAGGTCGCTGTCACCGTTATCCCGGCGACTTGCAAGTCGCTGCTAAGATCACCTCTACTCACCATAAAAGATATTACCCTATTTCACGAGTATCCGTCACGGTAGAATGACAGGTGATTACCTAGTAATATCTCAAAATTCCCGATATCGAGACAGGACACATAATTCTGACGGATACGTCAGGTGGTCAGAGCCGTATTTTGTTTTGGTTTTCTGTACGCTACAGATTTATTTTGTACTTTATAACAGCTCATTTACTCAGTTAAATTTGCTTACAAGAAACAAAACCTACAAACAAGTCTTACTAGATTCATTATTGTCAACGTCGCAGACTAACACAGAAATGTCACTTGCTGATTGGTCTGACGTCGTTTTGACGTTTTTGCTGTTTGAGGTTAGGTTGGGGCTGTTTGTTTATTTTTTTCTGACATCACACATATTTTGGAAAATCAGGCTATTTAAAAAATATAATAAAAAATGCCATCTTCCAAAACAATAGGCCAGCGACTGTTTGATTTATTCAAAATCGTATTATGCAGTTTTGGTGTAGTTACGACTTTTTATATGGTCATTGAGTTGACATACTTTTTGTCAGTGCCAGATTATGAGAAATTAGAAAGAAAATCAAGAGGTAAAGCATGACTAGTAAAGCATGAAAGTTCATACAAATTAAAACCCTTTATATTCCAGATCCTTGGTTAAAGACCTCATGGGCTCTATTGACTAATACTGCTCTTGTAAGCTTGTTTATTTTACAACACTCATTACTGGCATCCCTAAAGATTAAAGATGCATTTGAGGTCTATGGAATGAAGATGATTTATCGAAGCTTGTATGTCATCACAACTGCAGGAATATTATTGGTAAGAACAAATAATTTTTGGCTAGCAAGTTTTTATCAAATTGTTAATAATCCAAACTAGTTAATAATCCTTGGTATGGGTCTGACATTTGCTTATATATTTAAAATAACAGGTCTTACAATCAAGAAACGAGCAAAAACAGAATTCTTGCTATATTTCATTACAGTTTTTGATGAGACATTGGCAAACTACCCCAGATACAATACTCTGGCAGCTAAACTTGCATTACAAGCCTTTATGGTGGGTCTATGCTGGTATCCATTTTCTTTCCTGGGTAATCATTTATATTGGAAATATATGCACTGATGTTACTGAACTACTTGGTATTAAGCAGGTAAGTGTTTACAATATTAAAATTCATAATATATACAGTGAAAACCAATACCACTGTATATGTGTTAGAAAGAGTACCTCTTTGGCTAGCATATTATGATGCCAGCAAAATTTGAACCTTACCATATACATATTTGAATGCAGCAACAGTTGAACATATATTGCTGTAATCTGGTTCCAAGCTGAGACAGTTGCCTCACGGTCCATGGCTGCAATGATTCAAAACATGGCTACATAGTCTAGAAAATGTATTTTTCAAGCAATTCAGGAATTGTGCTTCCCCTGAAGATCCCTCCAGACAATGCTGGTCTTAGCTGTAATATATTCTCTGAATGTGTCTATCTTTTCAGGTATATTACAGTGTTTTTAACTTACCTGATCCAAATTTGAGGAAATCTGCACAGCTGAAAAGGCTCACTTCTCATATGAGACATCCTAGTTTTTTAGCATTTTTACTAATTTTTTGGCTCTACCCAGTGATGAGGTAAATATCTTGTTTTTTTCTTGAAATGCTATAACTATGATTTCACAGTTTGTGTTGTAGGCAAGGCTTTTTGAATCTGTAATTTTTTTTTAATATCTACAGTATGTACCCCTAGTTTAAGGGTTGTACATACAAGGGAGGTTGTTTTTTCAATACAATGTCCTTTACCGATCTTATTTAAAGTCAATTTTTTTCAGCCTTGATCGACTTTTGTTGGCAAATATCTTGACAATGTACATGTACATCGCATGGAATACAGATGAAAGAGACTACAATTATCACAAGTATCAATATGAAAGGAAGCACTTTGAGTTAGAAAGTTTACATGGATATTAAATTAGTAATTTGCATCAAATGTTGGGTTATTACTTTTGACATGGCATTTATTAGGTTTTTTATTCTTTATATTGACTAACATAGTGTTATGAGGAAATGTAAAAGGCACATGGGCAGAAACTGAGACATATAAATGTAGTTATTGTGAGGAAATTGAGAAAATTATTATATAAGTGCTTCATTTGTAGTTGGTAATTACATTGAAAAATTGTATTACCATCCTCTGCGTGATATATGCTGAAAATTTATTTTTCTCATATTTTCTATTGAAAAAACTCGCATTTACATGAATGGAGTAATTTCATCAGTGGTTGGTAAATACATTGAAAAATTGTATTGCCTTCCCTCTAAGTGGTATATGCTTTAAATTTGTTTTTCTCACATTTTCTATTGAAAAAATCTCATTTACATAAATGGAGTAATTTCATTTGTGTTTGGTAAATACATTGAAAAATTGTATTGCCGTTCTCTAAGTGGTATAAGTTGAAAATTTATTTTTCTCACATTTTCTGTTGAAAAAATTACATTTACATGAATGAAGTAAGATATACAGACATTTGTTTTTACCCAAACATAAGTATATCCTACATTTTTGTGATTACACCTGTAGTATTCTATATAGGTCTCACCTTTATATATTTGATATGTGAAAGAACGATTTATGTACTGTGTATATATATGTATGTTATTTCATAATTAAAACGACTGTGTAAAATTTATAAATGTTTATTTTTATTTGCGAATTAACAAAGTATAAACTAAAATAAAATTTTACATGTTATATCACAGCTAATTCTATTTTATAACGATAAATAATCTAATATACTCGCATATAGTGTCTTTTTTGATTTATCCATATTTTGAATGATATGCTTTTTAATGTGTAATTATACTTCTGTTTGTGCAAGATTTCGATCAATATAATGACTATATGTATAAAATAATAGATGTGAAATGCATATTTATTTAGGGAAGAGTATTTCACAAAGCAACAACATTAAAAATGTATAAATAAACATTATGTATAAAAAACCTACTAATATTTGCACACACTTATCACTCTCGTATAGGCCTTTATAAATCCTCACTCACTAATATAAGGTTACAGGTCCACATCATTTCTAATAAATGTGTAAAAATAAAATAATATAAAGACCTAACAAACCAGGATTGCAACAAGAAGTAACTTCGGGATTTTCTGGTAGAGCCTACCCAATACTTAGAAGTAGAGTAGAATTTGAATCACAAAAATTCTATCCTGAAATCCCATTAAGTCACTACAGAACTGCTTGATCATGAACCTCCATCTTATAAGGACAAATTATACTGTGGTATTTTTAATCCTAATTGAAACATAAAAAACCAAGCCCTTATTAATAGATGATATGACCAACCATAAAAACCGCTGAACCATACCTGTTAGGTTTGATAAATAAAAAACGCTAGAGTGGAGCAATGGCAGCAATGTCTACTTTTTCGTGGACAGCTGAACAGCAATAAATGACATCTTTGTTCATAACCTTAGACATGATCGCCAACCTAACTAGTACCATCTATGTTTAGAGTTCGCTTGCCAGATTATATCGATAACCGTAGCTGTAACAATCACGGAAATGGTGAAAACAAACGTTTTGATGACTTACTACGCTTGCAATTGCAAGTTTGACATTTTCAAACATAAGCTTTTTCAGAACGTTTTGTCATTTCAGCACAATTTATGTTATGCAGCGAAAAAATGGCGTTGACTCGTGAAAATTTTCGTGCGATGATCTATTACGACTTGCGACGTGGATTAATATGGCAGGAATGTATCGATCAACTTACTTCGACTTTTGGTGATGAAGCCTCATCCTGTGCCACCGTGAAACGATGGTGTAACGAATTTAATCGTGACCACCACTCTCTTGGTGTCGAAAGTCGTGAAGGACGTCCAAAATCAATTGTTGTGCCAGAAAACATTGATGCTGTACAAAAACTAATAATGCAAGATGGTCATGTGACATATTGTGAGATTGAGGCAGCCTTAGGCATTAGTTCCACTAGCATACATAAAATATTACATGATCATTTAGTTGTGAAAAAGGTCTGTTCGCGTTGGATTCCACATAATTTGACAACAGCTCAAAAAGAGGCTCGTGTCGATTGGTGCAAACAGATGCTCGAAAAATACAACGGCGGTGCTTCGAAAGACGTGTATAACAAACAGGTGATGAATCATGGATCTATGCTTATGAGCCGGAAAGGAAACAGCAGTCGATTGTATGGGAGTTTCAAGACAAGCCAAACCCGACAAAGGTTCCTAGCGCACGAACCACTTCGAGACAAATGGTTGACCGTTTTACCAGTACCTTTAGAGGAACGTAAAATAGTTAATTCTGAATGGTACACAACTGTTTGTTTACGTCTTCGGTGACAAGGAAAACCAACAAGCGGCGACGGATCATTCTTCATCAAGACAAAGCGAGCTCTCACGTCTCTCGTGAAACAATGGACTATTTGAGCACTCAGAATATTGATTTAATGGGTCATCCTCCATACAGTCCCGACTTGGCACCCAATGACTTATTTTTGTTCCAGTACGTTAAGAATAACGATTTTCGTCCACAGAAAAAGCTGATGATGAGCTCATAAAGTATGTTTTGGAAATTCAGCAGACGCTCGATAACGTAAACACGGAATAATGAAAACTTGCGCTAATGTAAATACAAACTTCGTTTTATAGGATTAACGATAACGTAAACAACTCTCGGCGCACGAAAACAGCGCGACGGTAAAATGCTGAAGCCTCGATGACTGTCGGGCGTCAGGATTTATGATGTAGAGTCTAGGGGATTCTCCTCTGCGATAAAATACGACAAACTCGGTCAGTCGTATGATCGTTTAGGATACGTTTATACGTAGTATGTATTTCATTTTTGAACTTAAGTGAATACATTGCACGCGTTAATATATTTTACGACTATGGCATCCACATCCTATAAAAGAAAGTGTTTAAAGTTGAGTGAGAAAGTGAAAATCATAGACGAAGTTGCACTAGGTGCGGGAGTGACACAGTTAGCAAAAAATATGGAGTATCGAAAGCAACAATCTATAAAATTAAGCGTATGAAAACTCAAATTTTACAAAGAACGTGCAATACATCCGGGAAAAAGAAAAACTTAAAAAAATGCGAAGGCACCTAAAATGGAAAATTCCCTGTATAAGTGGTTTTTAAAACAACGGGAAAATCATGTCCCAGTTAGTGGCGAAGTACTTAAACAGAGAGCGAGACTGTTAAATGAAAAACTGAAAGAAACTGAAAATTTCGTAGCTAGTGATGGCTGGCTACAACGATTCAAAACAAGATATGGAATTCGACTGCTGTCTATATCTGGTGAAAAATGATTAGCACAAGCACAATTAGTGCAACGATTCAAAGAAAAATTGATGAAAAAAATTACCGAGCTAGATTTAAGAATGGAACAAATTTACAACGCAGACGAAAGTGGCCTTTATTGGAATATGTTACCAGAGAAAACCTATGCTGCATCATTTGAAAAATCTGCCCCGGGAAGACAGCCGGAGAAACAACGAATAACGTTTCTAGCCTGCACTAATGCTAATGGTTCACACAAAATAAAGTCACTGGTAATTGGGAAAGCAAAAAATTCGCGCTTATTTAAAAATGTTAATATCCCTGTTGATTATGACTGTTCAAAAACCGCTTGGATGTATATTCCTGAAATGGTTCCACAGGTGCTTTGTCCCTCAGGTATGACAATCAATATCACAAATTATCTATTCATAATTTGAAGATGTGTTTTCAATTTGTAGGTAAAAGGTTTCCTAAAACAACAGAAGCTTCCAATAAAAGCGTTGTTACTATTGGATAATGCACCAAGTCATCCTCCCGAGCAACAACTGAGGAGCAGGGATGGGTCAATTTTCGTCATGTACATGCCGCCCAACGTAACACCGTTAATTCAACCGATGGACCAGAATATAATAAGACTCACCAAACTATACTATATGAAGTTTCTACTTTCGTCTGTCTTATCAAAGAATCCTGAAAACTTATGAGACTTTAAAAAAAGTAACATTACGAGAAGCTGTTTTAGATTTACATATGGCCTGGAATGAACTTAACCAGCGAACTATTCAAAAATGTTGGAACAATCTCTTTTGTACCAATAATGAAGATGATGAAGAAGACGATGTCCCCTTAAGCGTAATTAGAGAACGTTTGCGATCCAATAATGATAATGTTATTAGTGTGTCATTGGATGTTGTTGATTTATTGAAAACAGTGAATCCCAACATTGTTTGTACTCCTGCTGATATTAATTTATGGAACGAAGATAAGCAGACGAATGATGCTGATAAGGAGGAGGATATGGACAGTGAGGATGATGAGAACGATCCTATTGAAGTCAGAAGTGTAGTGACTGACGCGCAAGCTATACAAGTTTTTAACCAAGCTTTAGATAGGGCTGAAAGAAAAGAAGTTGCATACACGGATATTTTAGTTCTTCGTAAATTACGGGCGCAGGCATTGGAAGACAATGCTAAGCGCAAATTTACGCAGACAAAAATTGTTAATTATTTTTCTTCTAATTAAAAAAATACTTATCGCTGTTAGAATATTTGTACGTTTCTTTTAATAAATCAAATATTATATAAATCACGTTCGCTAATGTAAACATTTCGAGAATGTGAACCACACTTGGATTAAATTAGTTTACATTATCGAGCGTCTGCTGTATATCAAGCGGAGTGGAAAATGTGTTCGAACTCATAAAAAAGTATATAGATCATAATGGAGAATATTTTGATAAACAGTAAAGTGATTTTCAATGACAATTTAATTTTTTTTTCATTATTAGGCTCAAATTATAAATAGTGACCCTCCTATCTCTCTATGTTATCAGTGGGGTGCTAACTAAAAAATACTGAAATCTTGACCCACTCCTGTGCCAACTTGGGTTTTCTGCTGTTTCAATTAGGAATAGAAATACTATACCTGTTTGGGTTAGAGTGGCACTGGGTTACAGCAGTCTATCAAAATTCAATTACCATTGTACTAATCTTAGTTTTAAATGTCTTAAATAATGTTCTTGTTAAAATTACTGTTTGAATTTCAACCCTATAGCTATAATAAAATATACCGTGTCTCATACTTTAATTATCGAAGAAATCGGAGACTGACGATCCATTGTATGAATGTCAAAATCACCATTCGCACGCGTGTCATAGTGATACATACGGATCATAGAAAAAAGTTGTAGGGTTTCGAGGGGGACAGTGATATGACCTTGACCTCGTCCTTAAAGATCACGCGAATATTTTGAATTGTTAATCCCCCTTTTTATACCGGATTTGGATAGAGGAGAACATTTTACAACCATCAAGGCCCTTTTGTTCAACAGTACAGGTGTGAACTTTGTGGAGGTCATCCAAAGAAGACGTTGATCATCTTCAAGGTCATGTCAAAATTTTAAACGTCCAAATATAGAATTTCTTGCTCTCTACAAATTTGGCATAAAAGTCAAGTTGTTGTCTTACAAACAATATTTAAGATTGACGTGATATTGACTTCGAGGTCAAATTCACGTTCGAGCGTAACATGTTTTGCTTTTTCCTATTCCAGAATAAAAATGAGGGATTTTCTTTGAAAATTTTGACTTGACCTTGAAATGGCATTGAAGGTTATACTCGTATGGTTGTGGTCAAGATCATATTTGGTTGCAGAATTTCCACCTGTTTCCAATTCCGGTGTAAAAATGCGGGTTCCGTTTGAAAACACTCGCTTAACATGGATATGACCTTGAAGGTGGTGAAGGTCATTGTTAAGGTCACTATTATTTTGTCGTCTCTAAACCCTACAACTTTTGTTTGAAACTTTTTTCTAGGACTAGGATGCGTAGTTATCGAAATATTTAGGTGGAGAAATTGAAAAGGGACACCCTATAACCGATTTCTCGAGTATCCATCACGCTTTGACGTCCACTGAGGTGAACAGCTGATCAGCAAGTGACAGTTTCGTGTTAGCCTGCAACGTCGGCAATAATGAATCGAGTGTAAATCTAGTAAAACTTGTTTGTAGTCTTCTGTAGCGTACAAAAAAACAAAACAAAATATGGCTCTGTGTACCTGGCATTGACGGATCCGTCAGAATTGTGTCCTTTGCTGATATGGGGAATTTTGAAATATTACTAGATATCAGCTGTTATTCTACCTTAATGGATACTCGTGAAAAAGACTACATATATACAGTATCGATCTATGCAACTATGTACTTGTGTGCCATATACGAGCATGGAAATCGTGTGTGAGCAATTATTTTGACATTTATGATGGCTTGTTAATCCCTGATCCCTTCGATATCCGTATATGAGTGGACAGCAATTACACAAAGGTTGATTGTAGATACATTCTATTTCAAAATCAGAATTTTAATAATTTTTGACAGTTTTCCTGATACCAATCTTCAGTTGCGCGTAAATACGCATCAGTTTTAACAAATAATCAGAAATTATCATTATACACATTTATCAACGAGTCATGTGCCGAACAAAATTTTTAGTTGCCAAATATCAAATGTAGTTTATACTACCCTTACCGGAAAGCATATTACTTATTTATTCATTTCACGTTTCAAGGAAAATTTTCAATTTTGCTATCAATATAATTTCACACAAAAAATTTCGGTAAAAACGAAGGATATACTTTCCACTATTTGAAAAGCTTTTGTATATTCATGACTTACAATACAATAACTAGAGATTAAATAATCTCAAATAAAAATAGAGGTCTTTTAATCTCGCTACTTCGTTCAATGCAGCAAAAATGCCTGGTCGGCATTTTTTTTAAATAATTTGGGTTATTTCTCGTATTATGAATTAACAAAGAATTGGCCAAGAAGCAACACGTGTTTAGAGCCTACCTTTTTAGAAGTCCACCTGGAAGTCAACAATTCGGTACTGCAGAAAAAGACAACGATACTTTTTCCATCAAATTTCCTATTTTTTTTTCTTTTTAAAGACATACCAGCTCACCTTAGCAGTTTCATTTCCTATGACATCAATTCCAAATAACACATCTAGCACATACTTAGCAACGCAATACCATTCTCACTCAATCAGTCGAACTTCGTCCATTGACCTTGAGAATTGACTTTGGTCGTGCTTCCGGTGAACATATCGAACGCTGATTGGTTATTCGTATTAGAAAAGCCGAAGTCTAGGCCATACTCATGCAACAGGTCCTGGTCGTTCCGCTGGAAGGCGGTACTGCTCGTACCGCCATTTTGCTTGACGGAGTGATTCTCGTAGGTATAGAGGGGGTTCGTGATACTCAAAGGCACGTGACCGGTGCTGTTGCTGCTAGAAGTACTGTCTGGGGAAGACTTCGACTTCAGGGGATCGAAGTCGTCTATGTCCGACGATGTGGAGTCTAGGCGGATCAAATCTTCCGTATCTTCGTTTTGCTTCAAAATTAATTAGTTCACTTGGGTTAAGTGGGAATTGGTCGAGATATTGTAAAAACATGTCAATCCAGTATTGAATTAAATGATCTAAATTACCAAAGCCTTCCGTGGAAGTCATTGAACAAAAAACTCGATATGTTGCAAGGCAAATTTGTATAATTAGGGTACTATGAAAGAATGGCGTCAAGTCGGTTGACTGCACTTTCCAAGCCATGCTGGCAGGGGTTAGCCCCCAGATAAAACAGTTAGTCACGAATAAGTATAATAAAAAATGGATTCAATTAGTCAAACAGGTTCAAACAATTAGTCTATATTAATCTCCACCAATTTGACAACGTTGCGGTCCAGAAATTTCCCTCCCTGCTCTACAGACCGTTTAGCAACTTTGCTATGACTAACCTCATCAGCTGTAGCCACTCATCGGTCAAACCTCGACGCATCTAAATCTACATTGCTGGCGTTACTGCGACGTGTGAGTCGAAAACATTTCTATGTCATTCTATGTTTAAGAGCAATTGTACAGAGAAATCTATCATGTGTGAAATATATCTAATAGGTGTATATAATTAGCAACGGTTGAAGCGTATCAATCTGCGCAAAAAAATCAGATATATTTTTCTCCTCCCCTACAACTCCCCATTATTGACACCTACAACATTTTTTCTGAAAATGATCAGAAGCCTCTGAAACATCAGAAACAAAGCTTTTTCTCCGTAGCCTCGCCGCCACTGGACCAACTTTCAAAAACCACAAAGCTTGTGTCAAAGTTTCATCAAAACCCTGGCGGTACTTTCCGCGTTACACAGCGGTCACGGATTAGCAACAAACAAGACAGACCGACGGAATCGAATATTTTCATCTACATTTTCGAAACTGTCCCGATTACAATATGTCCATTGCACTTGAGAATGTTTTAATGATCATGCACGTAGGCCTGCTGAAGTTTAGCAAAGCGTTTCCGTTGTCCACGTCTGAAGCAAAACCTGATAGCACACCGTTGCTCGAAAACTCATTTTTAGAACACAATAGGAAAAACTTTCACAAAAAAAATGCTACGACAACCAAATTCGTACTGAAGGCAGATCACATGTTCCCCTGTCTCTCCTCCAAGCCCGGCACCTCCAGTGTCGGCAGATCGAACGCTACGTTGCCAGTCTCATTTCTTAATGTACAGACCTCGTAAATTACGTACGTGTTTTGGTCACATAAAAACACAGGACAGAAACGGATAATATGCATGACAATTCCAAATATACAACGAGAATGATGATTTACTAAATACCTTTCTCCTCGGTGAACAGACAGGGGGTGTCAACTTAACGACGTCCACTGCCCCTCCTCTGCCACCCCCCGCCACGTAAAAAACAGGATCGCCATTTTCGTGTCCTCCACCCACAACGAAAGACGGGTTTGCTGACAACAGTTCCTGTTGGAAGGAAATTACTTGAAACCGAATTCTCGATATGCAAGTCAATACAAATATTCAATAGAGTATCGGAAAAATCTCATATCCGTTGGAGTCGAACCTACAATCTTAAAGTTCCCGCTCTGATGCGGTTTCGAATACGATCGCCTTGTCTATTGTTTCAGCTTTGGAGTATCACGAGCAAAGTGCACGACTGTGTTCAGACTCACTATATCTTTGGATGAACTTTAGGATGATTTAGATACTAGCACCAGGTTTCCCTAATCTTATAATCCGACACGTAGCTAGCCCCTAAAGCCGCTTAAAAACGGTCAGTAAATAATGGTCTTATATTAAATATAGGTAAGACCCAATTTAATGAAATGTTCACTAAGAGATAACCCGGGTTTCATTATTCTTAATAACGTTTCAACAACTGAAACATCTCTTTCTGTTAAGCTGTTTGGTATTACAATTGATTGGGGGCCACATGTAGGACGCTGTGTTATCAATCACGTAAGAATGCTTATGGTATGAATTTTTTATTAAGGTAAGTTGTTTAATTGTCACTTAGGCTATGGCATTTTAAGGTGGGGATGCAGCTCACAGATAGAATTTTTCTTCTCCAGAAATATACTAAATGACATAGCAAGTGCAACACCCACTAGGACTGCTGTAATTTCGAGCATACTTTTACAAGTTTTAGGTCTACAGACAAACAGAAAGTGATTAAAATTTTAACGCAAAATTTCGCAAAATAGCTGAATTAATGTTAATAATGTGTTGAAGCTCCTCTGTTCGCTACACATTCGTTAAGTCGTCGTGGCATTGATTGGATTAGGCGATTGATGTCTTCTTGGTGTATTGTATCCCAGGACATCTGAATTTGGTTTCATAGAGCCTCCAATATGTGTGGAGGGTGCGGTGAATTTTGCAACCTTTTTCTCATCATATCCCATACATGTTCGATGGGTGGAAGGTCTGGAGATCGAGGGGGGCACTGAAGCAGATTTACTCTGGACTCTGCTAAAAAGTGTAACACGTGCGACTCGAGGTCGTGCATTGTCCTGCTGAAAAAGTGGATCTTGCAATGTTTCCAAAGAGGGAAGCAGAGGTGGTTGTAAAACTTCGTGGATATAGCGCTGGGCAGACATGCTACCTTGAATGAACACCAATCGTGACCTGCTGCCGTAAGCAATTTCACCCCACATCATAACAGCGACAGTGCGATGAATATGCCGTTCGATGGAATATTGGACGTTCCGTCTGTCACCACGTCTCCTCCTTACTCTTGCACGACCAAAATTCAATAAATACTCTGGGTGTTACATTTTATATGTCACTTAGTATACGTTATTAGAATCATTGTAAATCTTAATTGGCGTGAATCTTCCAGGGATTATTTTCGATCCTTAAGAATTTTAACAGTAGCTTTTATTTACATTTATGAATTGTAAATATTTGTGCATAAAAATAAATTGAATCTCTTCAATAATAAAGACGAAGACGATTATCAAACTGGATCTAAAGATGTACTGACGCCCCCTCAACATCGTACTGCAGCATAAAGGAAATTTTTGAGTTACATGGGTTGTAAAATTTTCAATAATTTAAAAAAACATATTCAAAAAAGCACTGAAATTGACCAGTTTCAAAAATCAGTTCAAATCATTTCTAACAGACAAGAATTTTTATACCTAGGAAGAGTTCTTTGAATGTAAAACTGGTTGTTAATCTGTACTGTATTGTATTGTATTTTCAACTGTATGTGTTTTTCTGCTACCATTTTCTTTTGATCTATGATTTGTTATAGGGGCTATTTAATAATGACATAAATGTATTATGTATTATTATTTTCTAAGGACGTAAGGTCTTACCTGTTGATGCCTACTGACAGGTAGATAAGGCGGCGCCGAGAGTCTGGGCGGTACAGTGGGCGGTGACGAGACGGTATCGCTACCTATGCCGAACGCGCCCTCTGGTGGCGACTGAAGGAGGGTTTGAGTGTCAGCCCTGCTACTACTGCCACCTAGCGAGGCAGGGAAGAACATCGGCCGTCCGGGAGAGTGGAGCGGCGAAGCACCAACGCCTGCCGTTTTGAAGTTTTCTAGGCTACGCACCGGTTTCAACTACCAACAAGAAATAAAAATTAATGTCCACATCTGTGCGTTTTCCCTTTTACTTTCAGCATGAAGCGCAGTAGAGTTTGTCTCTCAATGTGACTATCCGATAGCGACTGAGTTACTGCAAATGTCTTTTTATATATCTATCTAAAGAAAATAACTTCTTGTCCCAGAATCTCTTATAAGCTTTCAATTTCTTCGGATTCTTGGGGTGAATCAACAGGTGTTGAAAATGCCTTTAATCAAATGGCCAACGTTTTGACGTTTATTTTACGCCTTCCTCAATGTGAAAGAGATACGTTAAAACACAACAAAATTCTAAATATAACAATCAAGTGAAAAAAGTCATTTACAAAAAAATCACATTGACAATACACAAGAATATGAAAAATATAAAACAAACAAAAACGATAACAATAAACGTACATGTGTACATGTTAGAAGTTATTATATCCGCATCCAACAAGTTAAAAATGTTTTCTTTAAAATGTGACATTTAAAAACCAGACTTAAAAAACCCACGAAAAAATATGAGAAACCTACCTAATGAATGAGACACGCAAAGCACGTCGCAAGGGAAACAAACATCCCTTAGGTCAATTATGAAAATAAATAATAGAACATAAAAAAAACAAAGAGATGCCAGTTATGTCTATACCAGGAACAATCATAAATACCTATATATATATATATACATACACACATATATACGCATATAGACTTCGAAGTTGAGTCATTTATTTTAACAGTGAGTAGATCTGATCAAAAGAAATGTTTTTTCCTTTACCATTTTTCTGGTAAAATTAAAGTAACAAAGTTATAGCCCTTTGGAAGCTTGAGTACCGCCCTGTCTCAATAATAATATTATGTGCTCGTGTTTGGCGACAACGGATATAATTCGCCTTATCGGTTCATCGCATCGGAAACAAAAAAGCGAAAGAATTTGGAACGATGTTTTTACTACAATGTACAATTTTATTCAGTTGTATTCAGTCGTTGTGTCAGTCGGTAACGCGTGAGTGAATAGTGGTGTTTGTTGCGTGGCTCAAACGAAATAAAAAATGGCACATGTTTACGAAAATGCTGAATGTAGTACAAAGGGCTCGTGAATCAGGTGACTTAAGACCTCACAGGGGACAGCATGCCGGTGCTCCAAGACCGCACGATCAAATACAGGTCCGCATTGAAATACTTGTCGGGAGGATACTTTATAAAAAAGGTAACATTTTTTTTTTATTTTTACACACATATTTTGGTTTATCTTCCTTCTACAATCATTATCTGAAAATTAATGACTCAACTTCAAAGTCACCCTATATATATATATAACCTATGGGAAAGTTGAAGGACAACATGGAAAAGCAAAGCACGTGGGCATTTATTTATGGGAATATCAAAGTCGCTTACCGATCGATCAACAGGTGGTGTCTCCAGATTAAAGTGTAACAAATCGACCATTTCGTTCATTAAATCTATCCTGGGAATATCTATTGGGGGACTGCTACTTCTAGGTGTATCCAGGACGTCTGGAGTAATAGGCTGCGAAGACGGACTCAACGGACTGTACGACCTATTTTAATTGAAAAAATATAATGAAAGAATTGGTTATTCAACACTGTAAAATTGTACATTGTACTGCGCTAGCCTCTGAACATCATACAATTTTAGGGATACGGAGATGATCCACATTGCAGTTGCGGAAATATAGGGACATTACAGCACCTTATATTAGAATGTCTAATCGGGAAAATACCGGATTGTAACAAATGTTAGCGAAACACTTAGCTTTGCCTCTAAATTTAGACTCAATTCTCAGTTCTGAAAACCAGCAAGTTTACGAACTTTTTATATAAGCGTTGTCGAAAAATAGGCGTAACATTATAAGATGTAAAGTGCAGTAAGATGGTTTGAAAAAATGAATGAAAACAAGAAAATATAATTAAAAAACATAAGTGTAAAGTAAACAATATGTCAAAATTAAAAAAACAATGAGAAGAAACAATAGAAAACAATGGTTGTGGCATCTTGCAAACAAAGTGGAAAAGAGGAAAAACAAAACAGTGCTGGTTAAGCAAAAAAAAAAGAACCTGATAAAAAAGCAGAGCAATATATTTGTGGTTGAGGGCTGCCCGAATGATCGATCACTCTTCTCACAGTCTCGGGACTGTTTCGCACCGGCGGGCTGTCGGCGATCTAGCTCTCTTTTACCGCTATACCAACGGGCTTTGCTTAGAGCTCTCCTCCATGATGCCACCGCACGATGTGCCTGCCAGACAGACCCGCCTGACTTCGGCCTCCCAGCTTAACCGTGTCGAACGTCGTACATCCAGAACTGGCCGATACGACCGCTCCTTTGTCCCGAGGGTGTCGAGATTGTGGAACAATATATACGAGAAGAATCTCTTCCCGGTTCTTCTAACCTAAGTTTAAAAATCGGATTAACAAAATTTATTTGGATCCTCATAGCAGTCGCGGTGTCCTGGCATTAAGGCTTCTGCTTGCGCGCCTGGTTCGGTGTAAAAAATATCTTGCCAAAGAGAAGTGTAAACGCACGGAACAACGCGATTGTTTGATGTTCTGTGTCTAGCGCTATACGGTGTAAACATGGACATTGTGTATGTATCGGATTATTTACCTTTGCATCGCCGTATTTCTTAGAGCCAAAGCTGCGTCTTTCCTATATGTTACAACAGGGGCTGCGAAACTAGCGCCCACTGATCTTCGTTTTCCAGTGGGTGAATTTGGCGCTGATCTATGACTACTTGCAGCCGTTCCATTCTGAGGCGGCGGGTTGTCTTTAAGTTTCGACCTGAGGCCTTTATAGGCACTTTTCATGCCTTTTCCGCCATCTTTAACCTATAAGAAAAGATTAATGCAATTATGTTGAGGATTTATTATAACTTATAATAAATAATAACGCTTGCCCATTCACGTAATCAATAACCAGCTCTATACAAACACAAAATAAAACTAGGTCCTTCAACTACATGGAATGGCTATTATCTACGATACAACACTTACTGTTTTTACAGCATTTTTCATCGCAGGATTAGCCTGAAACAGAAAAAATACATGTTTAACGTATTAGCATGGGCCTTAAAATAACGTTAGGATCAACAGTATTCATTGAGAGTCAAGATGCGTGACACTAACCTTATCTTTTACACTTTTGAAAAACGCGGTTCCTTCTTTTCTCATAGTAGATGTCCACTCACGATACTGTTGTTTCAACTTCGATCCTGATTTTGCCGAGTATCTTTCTAATTCGTATTCAAATTCATCAGAAAATCCTTGGCCTGTATTCAACATCATTAGACGCTCTTCTATAAACTAAAAAATGCAGTCGAGTAGTCTAACTCGATTTGTTTACTCATATTCCAAATGATTCACACTAGTAGATTCTGAACGCGAATTACCTGTTGGAATATCTGTAACTGTAACATTTGCCTCAAAAAGGGTTGAAGCGACACAGGTCTCGTTTCTATGAATTTCTCTTTGTCAAACGTCACTTTTTGGCCCGGTTCAAACCTGAGAGCATCTCTATAACCACCTATTAGTTGAACTAAAGCACGTAAAAAAGCTCTGGAAACACCATCACCTAAAGACTTATTACGAAGTTGCTTTTTGAGGGATGTAATCTAGAATAAAGAACAATTTTACAAAATCTACTATGTCGATCACTGAATATCTATTATTAGCAAACATTTTCAACAAAAATAGCACCCATCAGCACACTTGACTGACGTGACGTCAACCAGACCACACGAGCCCTTGGCACGTTACCAAAATTACTAGGCACTGCATCCCTGTTGACGTCACATCGTTCAAATATTCGCAGGGTATGTAATAAAAAATTGAAACGTTTGTTTATCATCATTATCTCTGAGAATCTATGCTCAACTTACCACTTCTTGAGGAAGATTATTAAGATCATCAAAAGGAGTATCAATCGTATTTGTATCTGCATCTAATATGACAACATCTCCTATTTCAATTCTATGTACTTGCTGCAATAAAATAAAAAACGTAAAACTTGTCACAAAGTTTCTAGTTATATGTCATTAGGATTACGAACTAGCTGATATCAACGAATTTAGACTACGAATAAATAAATAAACAGCATCTAATGCCCAACATCTAAGGAAACTATTTACAATCATACAAAAATATGCATTAAACTAACAAAAATAGAAAATATACACAAAGCAGGTGATTCTAGCTAAAGGGAAAAACAAACAAGAAAAGGAAGTAAAAGACATATCGTCGCCTTAATAAGAAAACTGCCTAACTCCACTTTTTCCCCAAAATCACATTTTGGCTCCATCTTTTAGAGAATGCCACCGTTCATCGACCTACCAAACGGTATGTTCATAGAAAAATCTACACTGACACAATAACCTAAATAGAAATATGCCTATCTCCTCGCTCCCAAAAACCGCGGGAAAACAGCCTAAATCCATAATTTTGTGGGTATTTCTCAAGCGATCAAGTGTCTGTTGTTTTAAATCGGAAATTTAGCTCTCTCCACGGTTTCACTCAATCGTTCACATCAAATATCAAGAAATAAATGATAGGTAAGTTGTTTGCGTACATTCTTATTGTAAGGATAGTAGGTACTAGAATAGGCTATTTGACAGTATTGAAAATAAGTTGCGAATTGTGGTCATCCTATTAGATAGTAGAATAAGAAAACACATAGTACTTTGATGTACACCTAAATATGTATATTTTTTGGGAAATAATCAAATAAAAATCAGCTATTTTTAAAAATTCGATGGGTCACAGAAACGCCCTGCGATTGGCTGCGACTCTGGTGACGTCACATGCAAGTAAACAAACATCGCGTTGTACGTTTTTGCTGGCTTTCTGTGAGATATTCTATCATAATTCTATTTCATAAACAGATTTTTATTACTTTCTTGATCAATCTTTCAACTATTGACATCATTATTCGTTGTGGACTTCAAAATGGACCTAAATTTTGTGCAAGCTGATAACAGCAATCTACCTAAGGTTGACGCATTAATGGTAGCATTTTTCTTCAAAAATAATGCGGACTACTATGCTGCGGAACTCAAACATGTGAAAACAACAATGTAAGTAGTAATAGAAAGTATTTATTTATACCTACTAACCTTTATGTATGATCATTAAAAGATTTGTAAAATCAATCTTATTTTAGGTTATGTTGATGTAATGAAAAAAGCTTTCAGTTCAATATGATAATATGGTTCATATATGGTTTCATGAATAAAACATACTTTCATGTTTTGCTTTTGTTTTACAGGTCTGGAAGGGAGTCCTACGGAGACGATGCAATTGGCTATGTGCAGCTGCACCGGGAGCATGGACTTTGCACACTTAAGTGCAAAATGTGCCCAGAGCACAAAGTGAGATCAAAAGCTTATAATGTGACAATGGTTATCAACGAAAATGAAAGCGAGATAATAAGTTGTCAGTGCCATGACTGTGCTGCTTCAGCAGGAGGATGCAAGCATGCAGTCGCTTTTTTGATGTGGGTACATCGGCGCAGTGAGGAACCTCCATCTACTTCGGTGGAATGTTATTGGAAAAAGCCAACATTGTCAAGAGTAGGGACTACTCTGAAGTACATCACTGTGCAGCAGATGTCGAAAAAGGAAGTACCACACAGACCAAGTACATCAGCACTTTACACAGACTTTGTTTTGGAAGCCAAAAAAAGAAAACTTCAACACTGCGAATTGATAAAATATCAGGACGATTTTAAACACTCAAATGTTATGCGGTATTCGCTGCACTGTTTCATAATGGACCAACCACCAAAAATTCAAGCAGACGTAGACAATCTTGTAGACATAATGAAGACAACATTCAACAGAGCTGCTATCAGTGCAATTGAAGAAGCAACAAGAATGCAGTACAAGAGCAGCTTGTGGTATGAGATGAGGTATGGCCGTATCACAGCTTCAAAGGCACATGAAGTGAGCGTATGTCATACACCTGATGGTTCATTGGTTGCTACTATAATGGGCGCAAAAATACCAGATACTATTGCAATGAAAAGAGGTAGAAGTTTGGAGCTATCTGTCCGGAAGACAGTTAGTACAACATTGAACAAAAAAATCAGAACATGTGGACTTTATGTATGCCAAGACAATCCCATGCTTGCAGCATCTCCTGATGGTTTATTGAAAGATGCCATTGTTGAAATAAAATGCCCTACCAAAGCAAAAGCTAAGAACAATTATTTAAAAAATGGAATTATTTCAGAGAAATGTAAGGCACAGGTTCAATTACAGATGCATGCAACTGGTATGAAAAAATGTTATTTTTGTGTTGCTGATAGCAACTTTGAAGAAACAAAAAATGTAGATATTATTCTAGTGAAGTACGAAGATGATTATGTCAACAACTTAATAAAAAACTTGTATATTTTTTGGAAAAAAAATATATATCCTATTTTGTATCGTAGCACTAGTCTGTGATTATCAAATAAAAAACTATGCAGTGCATATTTCTTGTTTTATTATCATTTTATTCATGGTTTTACATCATTTATTTCTTTATTTATAGTAGTAGTAGTAGAAGTATTTATTCAGCCAAGTACAAAACACAAAGTTCAAATGGTATGTCACAAAAGAGGAGATTACATGATAATAATTAAGTATAAAGTATCATAACAGGCAAAAACCCATTATTTAATAAGAGAATCTTGCAAATTTATTAGAGCACATGCAATTATAATGACATGATCAAGTACACGACGTATGTTAGTATTTATCACTGAATGTTGCTTTAAAATATGAAATTCTCTCAAACGCCTTATTACCCTTTCAATATGAATCCGCAAACTAGCTATTATTTTAGTTTGTCGAACTTCAGTTTTTGACAACTTTGCACCAGCATTTACACTGGGTGGCCTTAATAGTTTTAGTCCCTTTTCATGAAGTATTTGTTCAAGGTGTTTGAAGCCTCTGTCAGCTAAGCAACAGGATCCTTGAGGTAATCCATCTAGAAAGTTACAATTTTCTACTATTGTGGCATCGCTGGTTCTGCCCCCAATCCCATGCGAAACATAATTAACTAACCCATTAGGTGTGCAGGATACTAAATACTTCACAGTATTCCCCTTTTTGTACTCTGACCACGTCAATGACTGATGAAGAGCCTTTGATGGTTTTTGTATATCAATCTCTAAACAATCTATGATGCAACTGACATTATGATAGTTATGTCTAAATGAAATAGGAAGATTTTTTTTTACCAATTTTTTATCTATATTTACAATGAATGGTCTTAAAACACTAGCTATTATTGGTATATTTTGTAGAAACAATTTACTAGCATAAGATAATGATATTCCAAAATTATCCTCCAGTTCAGAAAATGTACTGTTCATTCTAATCTTTTTCAAGCATAGCAAAATGTGTTCTACTTTTATGCTTGTGTGTTTATGTAACAATTTGATTAAGAAATAACATTCTTTTGGAATACCAACATACATCATTGGTTTTTTAGAGATTGAACGCATAGTAATTTTGAGGCACTCTAATTTTTCAATATTCTCATTGGCATCTGTAACATTACTATCAGAGTCCGTAAGCCCTGATGATGATGATGCTGATTTAGTTACAAAAGGTGATAAATGACGACCACTTTCAATACAGGAAATATCACTATCTGACTTTTCATCTTCAAGAAAAACATTTCTCTTGACTGCTTTGACAATTTCAGACTGTGATGGTCGAAGACTGCATGGTTTAATCTTAAAGGGCGAAGTGGAACGAGATGTTGTAGAAACTTTCATTGGTGAGGTAGAAATACTTGTAGTCTGGCATCTTGTTTGCACAGATTTGCTCCTATGATGCACATTCTCTTTTATTGTTACTTGCACAGATTTTTCTGCAGTTATGATAGAGTTGGTAATAGTTTCTCTGTCTTGAGTTCTTGATAAACCTGAAAGAACAAAGACTCAAAATTAATGTCATAATTTCAATGTAAATGATTATGTTAAGGCACTATGAAAAGTTGTCTACTACTTCCTACTACCATTATCACTGAAGAAAAAGTGCAGTGCTGGATAAGGGGTAGTGAATCACAACATCAACAGCTTGAGAGAAAATTACCCATTACCTGAAGTACAAGTTGAGCATTCTTGATCACCTAGCAAGTAAAATGTCCCATTAAAATGACCTATCACTTTGAATATATCAATTTTAAACCATAAATATTATTCTGTGAAAATCTCAATGTGCTACAAATATGTTATTCAGTTCTGCCCTTTTTATTCAGAAATAATGGAAGAAGTAGTAGACAAGTTTTTATAAGGCCTGAAATAGGTTACAAAAATGTCTATCAGCTCTTAGACTATAATTTATGATAGGACACATGTAATAGATTACATACCTTGAGGTTCAATAATGTCTTGTATCAAACTCTCATCTTTTTGTAAGCTTTCAGCTTGGGCTTCAGTAGCATTTTGACTTTGCAAACATGTGTTGACCAAATCCATTCTTTTCCTCTTGACATATGCTCCTCGAGAAAGTCCAGCATCAGACAGTGGTCTTTTACGATCTTCTTGACAATGAAATTTTGTTGGCACAGCATCTTCTGTCAAAAGTATCTTCTTTCTGAAACCCATTTTGTACTGCATGTAGTTAATGGTGTCTTTTTCCATCTGCAATTCAACATAACTATCACTATCTAATAAGCAAAGTAGGTAAAATGACACAGCATAGAAAATTATTGAGATATGTAGGTAGCTAATATAATCACAACAACAGAAAACATTTTGAAACCCTACAGAGTAATAAGTTTAGGGTTAATAAACAGGATCTTTGATCCTCAACACTGACTTATCCTCAACATAACCAAAGATACATTTGAGGTTATAGATAGTTATATATTATTTCAATCTTAAAAAAGCGGTAATTTAAGCTACCTAGTAGATAACATATTCAATTTATACTTACATCGAAGTGATCTTCACACATAAATACATTTGAAGTCGATGAAATGCCCTTTGGGTCTCTCCGAGCTAATAGTAACCACTTTTTTCGTCTTTTACAATCGGTTGGAACAGAAACAAACAATGTTTGTGGACTATTTATAGACGTATTCGTACATTTTGGCACTACACACCATTTATAGACCATTTTATCTATGATTTTATAGCAAAATCAAGCACAGAAATTAACTTCGGCTGACAGCTCGTAATCGTGTTTACTGGCGCGTGACGTCACAGACGTCATCTGCCGGCGCCATCACAGGAATAGCGTTTTTGGCGCGGTTCTAAAAATTCAAACTTTAAATTTGATTTCTATTAAAAATAGTATAGATTTTCAGGAAATATTCATGTAGTGTGCTCATTATATATAAAAGAATAATTTAAAATGATTTTGCAAAATTAGTCAAATAGCCTATTGTCTAAATAATATTATAGAACCAATTTTCTATGTAAATTTTTGGCGAAGTTAGGCAATATAAGTTAACTACAGTGAAATCAAGTACAGAGATAATTTTAGAACATAATTAGTTTTTCGCATAATTTCAGATGCGGGCGATCCAATGGTAGTTGATATCAAATCTTTGAAATATGAAAATGGATCAATTCAATACAAATTGCGACATACGGAAAAGCTTTGGAGTGACCTACCCAGAAGGGCTATGAAATATGTTCCCAATGACATTAATTATGAGAGTAGATTGAAAATAAAGAAGGAAAAATACCAACATCTCATGGTACTCATTCAAATCATAGATCAGGAGTATCATAAATAATATATCAACCTGCCACATGAATAAAATGTCCAGCTCCTCTTTGAGTTGCTATAATAAATAATTAGGCATTTAATTTTTGTTTTGATATTATGGATCTCATTCTTATTTGTACTAGTCACATGACGATATGTTTTTTCTTACACCAAAGAAATGTTTAATTTTTTAATTTCATGGAAATAAATAGATTTTTTAAGTTTCTTATGTGTATTTCTGAAATAATATAAATTTGCTTATTTCCCTAGTTTTATCCAATATTAGGCAGATATTTGTCAAACTCCGCATTGAGTGTGAAAAACAAGTATGATAAGAAACATAGATTGCTAACCTAATTATGATAACGTTCGAAAATAGTTTGGAGTATAAAATCAATGAACTTATGGAAAATTATTACTAAAATTTTTCGTCTCTCCTGAAAACTTTACTGAATGGGACTGAGGCAGTTTTCTTATTAAGGTGACGATATTTCACTCAAGTGTGTTTGTAGGAGGAGCAAGCTTTTGTTTGTCTACAAAATCTCAGTCTGTAGTCAGGACGAAAGTGCATTCTACAAGTAGACTAGATGTAAGATAATTTTTTGATAGTTCTGTCATTAAATTCATATTTTATTCTTATTTTTTAAAAGTGCAAGTGCATGTGGTATTAGACGATTTTAGGACATGATAATACTTGCATAATTTGCAAAGAGCGGCAAAAGCCTATTGAAGGTAGATATTTCCACCGGTAAGTATTATTATATTGATACAACGTTGTCACTTTGGTAGGCATTGGTAGTCAAAAGTATGATTTAAAACTACGCAATTTTGGAGACAAACAAGGCAATTGAAACATATAGGATTGGTTCCTTCTAATCTATTCGAATTCGTTGCCAGATATAGATTACCTTGAAAACCTCCTCAGGTACACCAATAAGGAACGGAATAGGCGCTAACAAGTAATCGATGAGCGACATCGGCAACACCGGAATGAAAATGTGTTGCCATATCATCGGGTAGATGATGTCGTTGGCCGATTGAGCGCATGCACTCAATCGTTGAAGTTTCTTTGACACGAATATGATGCGACGTTCGTACAGCATCGACGCGAAGATTATCATCATATTCTGCGCATCGACAGCGTTGAAGTATTCCGTTAAATTTCTCTAGAAATAATATGAAAAAATGTATTTATGCACAAAAAATTAATTAAGGTCTTTGCTCAATATAACGTATCACATTAGATTGTGTCATGAAAGTAGCCTAATTTTGCTGATGATGGCATGTTCTACGCATAGTAGGTGATGTTGTCACAACGCGGTGCATACAGGTTTGCACGACAACAACTCACATATAGCCCATGAATGTTAGAATGAGAGAAAAAACGATAATTTTTTGAGAGATTAATAGACAAGGATGTAAAATTGCAGAAAATTGATTCAAAAAATGTGTAAACGAATAATTATACAAAATTGTCATTGAAGCATTAAAGCTAAATAAATCAAACAAATCAACAAACAAATGTTGATTTGTTGCTTCAGTATAGTAGGCAAAGGTCTTAATCAACCTGAAAAACAATATATATATATATATATATATATATATATATATATATAATGGCCTACTAACTACTTACATTCTCTGGGATACTAGGTAATTGAAAGGGTCGTGGTATATCTATTGAAAATATCTGCAAATAGAAAAGAAAGTAAGTTGCAATTATCCATATTCGAACTTATTAAGTATACATACACTTTCTCCCCTGTTGAAAGATACTGTGAATTTTTTGCCGGGCTCGCCCAATTTTGCATTGTATACTGCAGTTAGGAATTCTCTAAGGTCTTCAGTCCGTGAACTGTGCATTAATACTGCTGTTGTATCTAAAAATCTGTTAAAAGTATCCATGTGATAAATGTATTACAAAGAACTAAGCACTAGGTTACACTTTCCCGCATTTGCGGCCCTACAGTAATTTAGACTTTTTGTGATCATATTGAAATACAGCGTCGAATGAATGAATTAATAACAAAATTAGAGGCATACCGGCCACCATGAGGAGCCGTCGCATAAACGGGCCCGTATGCACCCCTACATTCCCTGAGCCTCAAGCTCCGCCCTTCTAGCAAACATGAGTAACATTTTTTGAATCCAAAGTGTTGGACCCCAGTATAGTCTGCCTAGCTCAGAGCCTTCCTCTACCCCGCAGCGCTCACACATGGGTTTCTCATCCGCCCCCATCATGTTATGGCCAGACAACAACAACCTGAGGGTGGGTCTATAAAAAAATAAGCAGAAGAGTAATACAGGGCCCTACGATGAGTTCCCGTGCCTGACGAATATGTCTAAAGATGCTTCTCCAGTTCTGAATCAAAATTAAAAATGTTTTGTCAACAACAGGGCCAGTACGGGCCGGTGTTCCTCACGGTTCAGTCTTAGGAGCAATCCTTTATTCGCTTTTTATCCATGATGTCCCTTGCCCCAGCAACTATGAAGTCTACCTCTATGCTGACGACACTGCACTTGTCGTCCAGTCGTGTACTGGTGATTTGGTTCACGATGGGTTGCAGAGTGCGGTGGAAGAAGTATTAGAGTGGGCGGAACGGTGGCTGATTAAAATTAATCATTCGAAAACGCAGGCTATTTATTGTACCAAAAAACGTCGCGGCCCCCCACCAGACGTTTTTGTAGACGGCAATTGTGTACCATGGGCAAATTCTGACAAGTACCTCGGTGCCACCCTTGATAAGGGCAAGAAACGTACAGCGGCCTTGAAAATAAAACTCCAAATTGCGTTTCGCCAACTATATCCTTTGTTATGTAGATCCTCCAAATTGAGTTTGATAAACAAAGTTCGCCTATATAAAATGATTATTACACCAGCCATTACTTATGCATGTGCGGCTTGGTGTTTTCTTGCAAAGTCTTCAAGTACTGCAAAGTAGAACTTTGCGAACCATTTGCAACGCTCCATAGTATGTCTCAAACGAGACACTACACAGAGACCTTGACATTCCTTAATTGAGGAATTATGTCAAGCTTCAGGCGCAGTGACGTTATAGTCAAGCGGAATCGCACAACAACCATCTGTTGCGCGACTCATTGGACCACACAGTGGAGCAAGTTCGTAAAAATTCAAGGCCACGGCTCGCACTGTATTAAAAAATTAGCGCGAACCTTTAGTAAACGTAAATTTACACTCTAACAAAAAACCGAATCAAAATTTGTTTTGTTAACCTCAAGTCGAAAAGCCTAGGTGTTTCATCTTAAACTAAACACTTCTATTTTTCTTTGTTCTTCTCCTTTTTTCTTCTCTTTTCCTTTCTCTTTTTCCTTGACATTGTCTGGTTTCTGGGCAATCAGCGCTGACAGATTTGACTAACGTACATTAGACAGTGACTAATGGTTAAAGGTCCTACGGACCGCCCAGACAAATAAATGACGAATAGTACTATTTTTGAGTGTTGTCTAGCAATCAACTTCTCCATTTTTCTCCTGACTCTTTGTGCAGGCACCCCTACGGCTGGCTCATGACCAACAAGCTTGCTCGCTGATCCTACCTACTTCCTTCTGAGACCATCCCACTTTCCACTCCGCCCTCGACGGATACTCCACATTAAACTTGCGGTTAATGCGATTTTTACGGGAGATCAGATCACCAGTGCTCAGAAGGACGGGATCCTCCCTTTGCAATTCGACTTAGATGATAGTGTGACTTTTGACAGGATTCAAAAAGGCACAGCTGCCTAACTCCACAGTTGATGTGCGACTACTCTCGCCTCTCCGCGGATCACTAGATCCAACGGTGGGAGATCCAGCAGAGCTTCCATCGCACTCAATGGCGTTATCCGCACTGTGTTTGTAAAAGTGGTACAAGCCAAAAGCTGAATTTCATTAAATTTTGTGTTAGTTGTCTGGTTTCCATTGCAAGGCCACCAAACCAGGAAGCTCTACAGCGTCTTAAAAGTGTATCGAGTGTCCTTCGCTTTTGGTCATGGAGAAAAACAGAAATTATCAGAAATCTTCTCTCTCTCTCTATCGTGATCGGCTCGTTATTCTTGATAGGCTTGAAAGAATTCTAAAAAATCTCTGCATATCTGTGACCTCTACAAATGCGGATGAATCCGGTGCACAGATTCCACATCCGACGGCGATTTGAAGCTAGGATACGCAGAAGCGACAAAAAACTCATTTTCAACCTCAAATTTGGCCCCGTTATTTTTTGACCGTCATACTCGAATGCCGCGAAATTACCTAAATGTAGCACGTTTCATTCACACTTATAGCAATGGATGACAAAATAGAAGGTTTACCCTGCGAAGTCATATAATAATTTTAGGTTTCCCGAGACGACTATTGTATATTTCGAAAATTCACCAATCCAAATATGCATACTGTCTGCAAAAATCAAAGGTCGCCAATTGTGGCCCAACAGTCGAGGTTAAAAATCGCTTTAAAATAAAGTAATATCAAAATACTCTTTGGGATCCTATTGAGGGAGGTTTAAACTTTAATTCAGATATTTGGCGACCCCAAAAATTATATTTTTTAACCGAGTTTTTAAGTTTTGACTATATCCATCTTTACGGTTTTCAGACATTAAATCGCTTATAACTCAAAAATGGTCAACTTTGGAAAAAAGTTACTGGAAGGCCTTTTTTCTTCAAAATGATACACAATACCTTAAACAACCTGTCAAGGCAAAAATTAGTTTATTAAAAAAACTAGTGTAAACAAATTTGATCTGTGCCGTGCGGTATATTCAATGCTTAAAAACTGTTAAGACGTATAATTTTTGAGGTCCCCAAGTATCCAGATTGAAGTTTAACCTTGGCATAGTAGTAACAATGTGTAAAAATTTCATCGAAATCCGAATGGTACTACTTATAGGTGGTTATAAGATTAGCGGACAGATAGACCGACGGAAATGAGTGACATGTTTTCTCGTGATGCACTTATCATCACATAACATCCAAAAAACATACTATCTCATTTTTTAATTTCATTTCATATCAAATTGCCATTAGACGTGGGAAGTAAAATTGACGAAATTTTGATTTTTGCACATTATCTGTGATCTCTACTAAAATTGGGTGCACAGATTTAGCACCAGGATAGACAGGGAGACATGACCTCCAGTATTTCACCCATAAAACTGCGCTAAGACTTTTCAGAATTTTTTGATGGCGCAATTCTGATTCAGCATCTCAAACTGTCTAGGTGTGCAGAGTTTTAGTCGCTTGTAGCAACGAAAACAGTATTATTGAACAGCAAAACCATATATTTATATAACACATATTATGAGAAAATGTTTAAAAATCCTTGAGTATCTGTGCTCTCTGTCATAACTCTATTCAGGGATAAGTCACTCAATTTATTTCAAACTGTCTCATATTTAAAAGTTGATAAACCTATACTACAAAACTAAAAATAAATTAAGAGGAGCAATGGCTGTGCTATGAATATACATTATTTGAACCACTTCCTACAATGCATGGAAAGTATTAACAGTATATCTGAATATGATGATGTAAGCTAATCTGACTGTAAAATAGGATGAAATTCCACTCCAATTGTTAATAACAATGTAGCATATTTCTAAAAAACTGTGCTGATCTATCATTATTTGATCAAGGTTATTTCATGTAGTATTTGTGTGTATGATATTTTATGCCAATTTAAGAAGGTTTATGCTTTTGTTATAAACTTCATGTATAACGGCTATTATATAATTTCTCTGTAATGCAGTTGCATGGATTATGTAATAGGGATAAAATTAAAATGTATTAAGGTGATTTATCAGGTTCTGTAAAATCATTTTTTTTAGAAGTGTAATAGGAGTATTTGTTGTATGTGCAAGTAGGTACCTATGAATCATCAAAAAACAGATCAACAACAACATTTGTATCAAATTTCTACTTCTTATCAATATCATCAAATGTATTTTACTTGAATAGTAATTTTAATCTGAAATATTCCTTGTTGTTTCAGTCATTAATTGATCATCTTTATCAGCTTATAGGCTCCACCAGACAAAAATTGTGCTTATAAAATCATATTGTGTATATGTGTATTAGAACACCCCTGCCCTTCAGCTATATGGGGGCTCCATACAAACTTTGTGATTTGGGCCCCAATGATCCCAGATCTGTCACCATACGCATGATACAATTTTGATTTAGGAGATAGATAATATGCTATGGAGCATATACTTTGTCAAAATTTCATTATATTTGTTTGAGAGTCTGTCAGTCTTTTTAGTCCCTGCTTTTTCAAACTATGTTGAGTTCAGGGTAACTTAAAGGTAAAAAATCAACATCAGTGTAATCTTATGAGATTTCACATAAAAAGTTGATCAAATAGGTTTAAAAGATTGAATTGATACTCAATGAAGTGTCCTCTTTTGCATAGCTTTGAAAAATATCAAGTGGACTCCAATAAGAAATTCAAAAGAGGTCGATGAACTAGTTGAAATAATTCTAAATAGCAGTATGTCCTATAAAATCAGGATATCTAGTCACCAAAACAAGCTTAGGCAATTGTGCTCATTACATTGTTGTATGGAAGACTTTCCTTATAAACTTACTTGTAAAATGCTTGATGCCATGGTAGATAGCTTAATACTACTATTGCTGTTTCAGCTTTTGGGTCATGCCTACAGAATCCAAAGGTCCACTTTGACTCCAAGTCCGTAAGGACAAAAGAATAATGTTCTATTACATCACTGTAAAAAAATAAAGGATAGAAAAACTTGAATGTTGCAATAGATTCACCTCTTACTTCTCTAGCTTACAAGGATAGGCAAATTTTGGTACAGATTTAAGCACTTCCTCATCTTTGTATTTGTCAGGAAATTGTTGTATTATCCATGGTTCTTTATCTTGGCAAGGGGGTACAAGTTCACAGAAACATTCAAAAAAGTGCTTAACATTCTCCCTGCAATACATATATGTTTTTAAGCAGTTCCATATGTAAATCAAAGGGTTGCAACCCTTATGAATATTTTAGTCACACACCTTATTCTGGACCCCATTACATAAATTTACAGTCCGTTAGCATCCTGGAACTTTTATTTAAGTGTCAATGATGTATGTAAGCACATCCACTTCTGTTATGATCAATTCCACGACATCAACAATGAAATTTTTTAATGGAAAACATGTCAAAAACGACCTCGTTACCTCCTCGTTGTTACCTCCCCTTCGTCAACATATGCCAATGACATGGAACCACAGAACCACATAAGACTGAAATGAACGAAAGATACCATAAAACATAACCGAGACGAGTATGTCTTAATACATACGCCTTCGTTACGTAACGAATTGTTTTGTATAACCTTATAACCTAGTCGATAAAGACTTACTAGTCATGTTTATACCTAAAGTAGCCAAGCGCTTATAATATTGTGCCTAGCATTAAATTTATTAGTTTAAACCAAAAGCTTGTAACGGCACAGACCAGCTTTGGTGTAAACATAGCAATTTTGTGATAGTCATTGAGCCGTTGATCAATCGATATATTTTACCACAGGGCAAAGCATTGTGGAAGACATCAGGGATAATATGGATCATAACAGCATCAACGTGTTATAACGGATTGACTATGGCTTAAGTCGCTTTTCAATTGTCATAAACTGTCTTAGCTGACGCTAAATACTCAAAAAGAGTCGTTCTTGACACTAGGGTAGCTAACCCGCACCCCGCTATGATTGTGTAAGCTACGAAGACATAGATTCTCTCGTTAGTTCCCCACATTTTTCTGCGTGCTTTTCGATATTTAAGATAGTATGCCAATCCGACTAATACTCAACAATAAAATACAATGTTTTTTTATCAACTGAACTAAATCGGAACGTATCGAGTTTTTAGAATCTGAGACTGTTTTTGAAAACTAACTTGACATTTTGACATGTTTAAAAATTGAAGATCACGGCAAAAAATCAGTTAATTTGTTTTTTAAATGAATTCTAAATTTTATTCCTCCATCCTTCAACTATCAAAGATGTTTACAACAAGCAGTTCGTTTTAGGAAGTATGAATAAATGTGGTTCTGAATCAAACCTTCGCCTGAATACGGCGCACGACGTTAGACAGCAAACTCTTAGCAAAAAGAGTGTTCCTATTTTGAAGTCATTATACATGGAAGAAACTTTCCACAGCTCGGATAGATTTGTTAAGCGATACGCTTCCTGTACAGAAATGACAGGTAATAATTCATAACAAATAGCCTTATATACATTTTATTCACACAAATGTTTTGCAGATCATAATTTGTCAGACATCTGTGATATCAATACAATGTTTAGCACAAAAGTTAAGCTGAACTCTCCACCAGGAAAGCAACAGCACAATGCTAGTAAACAGAATTTAGAAGAAGCAACAGATTGTGTCCCAATGGAAGTAGACCTCTCTGATGATAAACTAGCTCCTAAACTAGAGAAAATAGATTCTCAAGAGGCATTTACTCCTTATATTGACTTAACAACAGATACACCAACTGCTTTTGATGGAATGGGACCTCAGTATCTACCAAAAGCTGCTTATATGTCAGACTTTGAACAGAATACAAAACCTATCAAAGGGAAATTGATAAGCTGCTCAAAAAATGACCAAATTAGATCTAAACTCATATATCTTGATACTGAAAGGACCAAATTCTCAACATGGCCATTTTTATCAGTATTGAGTATCATAGTTTCAATAGCAATTTATTTATGTTTTTATAATATTACCCATGTGAACAGCAATGTACAGCTACAACACATCAAAAGTGACTTATTGAATGAAGTCTATGAACAAGAAACGGCTGTTGAAATTATTGTACATACCCTAGAACACAGACAATTTTGGAAAAGCAAAGTGAAAGTCCTAGGGTTCATAGGTACACAAGGTGTAGGAAAAACACACATAGCGAATATTTTGAAAAGACATTTCTTGAGTCACTTAGTACATGAGTTGTATGGACCTCATATTGGCTACAAAAATCAAAAAGACAAAATCATTCAAGCAATTGATGGCTGTTGCTTGAATTTAGTTATCATAGATGACATGAGAAGGGAAGATGACATAGAGCTATTTTCTTTTGTCCATTCATTGCCAAAACATGCTTTCATTATTGTCATTCCGATTTTTAATGTGCAGCCCTTTGTGGATGAGACCATTTCAGACAGACAATCCATTATTCGACTACGAGACTCCTTTGATGACTCTGGACTGTATTATGAATTGATCAAATTTCATGAATTCACTGATGCACAGGTTGAGAAGTGGTTAAGGACACAAGTACAGTCTTATCATATAAACCCTGATCATCAAAACCTCATTGTACATGAAATATTGTTAGATCATAATGCTAAGTACCATGGACTGAAAGGGTTGGCTAAGAAACTGTTATTAGAAGTAGAAAAAAATAAATAACATTTTATATTCATATTGAATTTTTATTGTGACTGAGGTTTTAATAAAAACTGTTATCAAATTATGCCATTTATTGAATTCCAAATGGTTTAGCCTTTTGTACTGGTTCAACATGTCTGAGCAAATCAGAAATACTTGACATAAGATTTTCTTGGAGTAGCTTAAAATATCGGGTGTTTTTAAGGGGAGCTGCATACTACTGACAGCGCTAATCAAATAAGCAATTTGAAGAATAAAATCGATTCTCTTTTGTTACTACACTGAATCTTGTAATATTCCGCGTCGGGTCCTTGGTGTTAAACAGCTATGGGCTGACCCAGGTTTCGAGAATTTCTTATGTTCTCATAAACTTAGTTATATATTGTCTTTTTCACAAGTAACCATTGCGCTATAATGACAGCCGATTATCTAGTAATACTTCAAAATTCCCCTATGGACAAAAAGGACATTAATTCTGACGGATCCATCAACGCCAGGTTGACAGAGAAGTATTTTGTTTCGATTTTTGTCCGCCACAGATTCATTCGGTACCTGGTACTCTTTTATTTAGAAAAGTTCATTTGCATACAAAAAATACGATACAAACAAGTTATATTAGATGTTCATCCGATTCATTATTGTCAAAGTTGCAGACTAATAAAAGTCTGTCACCTGCTGATCAGCTGTTTACCTCGGTAGACGTAAAAGCTTGATGGATAAAAATGCAACGGTGGAGAGTACGAGGGATGTCTTTTAAGATTTGCATATAGTATAGAAACATAGTAGGCCGCGTATATCGAACGTGATCGAACGTCAGTACTGAATCTTAACCTCACTCTTTAGTAAACTTAAATCCAAAGTTTCACAACAATACGTGCAGTGTTCTCACTACAGTGAATTTTTAAGTGTCAAGTCATTAGAAAAATGGAACACAACCTAGAACATTTTCGCGCCATAATTTATTACAACTTTCAGAGACAATTATCTCGACAAGAATGCCTTGCTGGGTTACTGTCTGTTTTCGGCAACGAAGCGCCCCATCAGTCGACAATTTCCCGTTGGTATAGAGAATTCAAAGTGGACGGGTGAGTCTTAGCGACGATCCCAGGGTGGGTGCACCAAAAACGGAGTCACCAAGGAAAACGTCGATGCTGTGCGCAAACTCATCATTGAAGATGTGGCATGTGACATATCGCGAGATTAAGGCGTCCTTGAAGATCTCAAAGACCACAATTCAAAAAAATTTACATAATTAGGAGTAAGAAAATTAGTTTCTTGACCGTTTCAATTCCGGAAACTCAAAACATGTGCACAGCATTGTTAGTGGTGATGAATCGTGGATTTACTGTTATGAACCAAAAAATAAACGACAGTCGGCTGTTTGGGTGTTCCAAGGTGAAGAAAAGCCAACAAGTCATCCATTCTCGAAGTGTTTCGAAAAAGATGGTCGCAACCTTTGTGTCAAAAGCGGATCATATTGCAACAATTCCTATTATTGAGCAAATAACTGTTACTGCAGATTGGTATACCACCATTTGTTTGCCAAAAGTCATCACCGAGCTTCGAAAAATCAACCCCGAAAGAAGAATCATCCTCCACCAAGACAATGCAAGCTCGCACACAGCCCAAACAACAAGGCAGTATTTAACGGAAGAAAACGTGGAATTATTAGACCATCCTCCATATAGTCCGAACGATTTCTTTACTTTCCCGAAAATTAAAAACAGACTGCGTGGTCAAAGGTTCCAGTCACCAGAAGAAGTAGTTGACGCACTCAAAAATGCCGTTTTGGATCTGCCAACGAACGAGTGGAATAAGTGCTTCAAAAATTGGTTCGAGCGCATACAGATGTGTATTAATCTTCGTGGAGAATACTTCTAAAAACAATAAAGTCATTTAAAACTACCTACCGTGTTGTTTTACTTCCATATGCAAAACTTAAAAGACATCCCTCCTACCCGCTAAAACTTGTTCTCAAAACTTTTGGGGCCCTATTCGGAATATTATAAGACTTTAGTAAGAAAACACAAACGTATGCTTTCAATTCAATCTTTTTCTAACCTCAAATTTCTCATTTGACCAATAAACACCGTCAATTATATCAAAATAAAATAAGATTCTGCATACTGCCTTTTTCTTTTGAAATAAATGATATAAACAGATTATGAAAACTTCGAAAAAGAGCAGTAGGTTTGTTTTTGCAGTAAGTCACATGTTATTGCTTTTTGATTTACGATAATTAAAGACGAAATGTTTAGATCTCAATAACAATTATTATCTGAAATCACATTTGACTGACTTTTTATAAAGTCATGTAACTTTGCAATATTTATTCACGTTTGTTCTGTCGTAATAATACTATTTATTTAGTTCTAAAAAAAACAGAATTTTGAACTCAATTTTCTGTCTTTCGGGCGAAAAGTCAACGTAATAAGTTTTAGCTTGACGTAAAACGTACTTAAGAGTAGAACACTTTTAGGTGGGGCTTCAGTTAGTTGTGGGTAAAATCTATCACTAAACTTGAGGAGCTTCTTTTGGCGGGAATGACAGAATTTAAATGTACTATAAAGAGCTAAGGTTCAATCTTATTCTCAAATAGGAAATAAAACAAGATAAAACGGGTACATTTTTTAACGTATTTACATTTGTAATAAACCCTTCAAGAAGGAATACAGTAATCACATAATACTAGGTGCGTAGACCAAAAATTCGAAAGCATTTGATTGCTAAAAACAGATAGTGCATGCTATAGCTAACAAATTTTATCGAAAGAATATTTCTAATCTACTTCGAGTTTCCTGAAGTTTCCTGTTATGCCATATATGCTATCTCCTTCAGACCCACAGGAAGTCGTGTTTCTTTTTAAAGCTGATACGGCTCCTTCCCTGGCTTTGGGACTGAATAGTTCCTCATCCACTTCCATTTTGTCGTGAGACATCAGAACGGGATGCGCCGCTTTCACCTCGCCCTTCCATAGCTCTGCAAAATTGAATGCCAATGGGATATTTTCCAAAATATTCATTTTGACGAAATATCAATATTTTGCCCCCAAAAAGTATATTCTAAGCAACATCTTTCTATGTACGAGTAAAGTGTCAAAGTTTGCAAAGTTCAAATACATAAACACTTTGCGCCAGTGTTGCCGAACCTACCGATTTTTCGGTATTTCTACCGACATGAGACCTTACGAGGGATGTCTTTTAAGTTTTTCATATAGAAACATAGTAGGCCGCGCGGATCGAACGTCAGTACTGAATCTTAACCTCACTCTTTAGTAAACTTAAATTCAAAGTTTCACAACAATACGTGCAGTGTTCTCACTACAGTGAATTTTTGATTGTCACCAAGTCATTAGAAAAATGGAACTCATCCGAGAACTTTTTCGCGTCATAATTTATTACAACTTTCAGAGACAATTATCGCAACAAAAATGCCTTGCTGAGTTACTGTCTGTTTTCGGCAACGAAGCGCCACATCAGTCGACAATTTTCCGTTGGTATGGAGAATTCAAACGTGGACGGGCGAGTCTTAGCGACGATTCCAGGGTGGGTGCACCAAAAACGGTAGTCACCCAGGAAAACGTCAATGCTGTGCACAAACTCATTATTGAAGATAGACATGTGACATATCGCGAGATTGAGGCGTCCTTGAAGATCTAAAAGACCTCAATTTAAAGAATTTTACATGAAGAATTAGGAGTAAGAAAATTAATTTATCGTTGGATACCCCACCTGTTGATTGAAGAGCAGGAAGCAGCCAGGGTTAATTGGTGTCAAAAAACGCTTGACCGTTTCAATTCCGGAAACTCAAAAAATGTGTACAGCATTGTTAGTGGTGATGAATTGTGGATTTACAGTTATGAACCAGAAAATAAACAACAGTCGGCTGTTTGGGTGTTCCAAGGTGAAGAAAAGTCAACAAAAGTCATCCGTTCTCGAAGTGTGTCGAAAAAGATGGTCGCGACATTTGTGTCAAAAGCGGGTCATATTGCAACAATTCCTCTTAATGAGCAAAGAACTTTTACTGCGGATTGGTATACCACCATTTGTTTGCCAAAAGTCGTCACCGAGCTTCGAAAAATCAACCCCTAAAGAAGAATCATCCTCACCAAGACAATGCAAGCTCGCACACAGCCCAAAAAATAAGGCAGTATTTAACGGAAGAAAACGTGGAATTATTGGACCATCCTTCATATGGTCCCGATCTAAGTCCTAACGATTTCTTTACTTTCCCGAAAATTAGAAACAGACGGCGTGGTCAAAGGTTTCAGTCACCAGAAGAAGCAGTTGACGCATTCAAAAATGATGTTTTGGATCTGCCAGCAAACGAGTGGAATAAGTGTTTCGAAAATTGATTCGAGCGCATGCAGATGTGTATTAATCTTCGTGGAGAATACTTCGAAAAAAAATAAAGTCATTTAAAACTACCTACCGTGTTGTTTTATTTCCATATGCAAAACTTAAAAGACATCCCTCGTATTACCGTTTTCATTTTCAACGGTTTTTTTAAGAATCTCGTTTTTCAGATATTTCCAGATTTTTTACCGAATAAGAGCCGGCACCATAAATGAAATTAATCATAGATATGCGTACATTTGAGGCAATCGGCACACGATGGATGTAGATTTGGTTAAATCATCATTACCGCGCATTGCAAGAAAACCAAACCTCGCCTGTTTTGAATTTAATATTAAATTGAAATGTCAGATGAAGTTCCAAGTTCACGGAGTCATCAACGACAAAAATCATAATTTCAAGATTAACGACAACATGATTTCTAGTATTTTACAAACAACATTGGTTGGTACGATCTCAAGGACGATTGTAATGTTTTGATATTTCGATAGAAGGGTTTGGTGCCAAAATCAGGCAGCTCGATTCTTTATGTAAATTATTATTTATCTTATAATTTTTGTAATTAAAAAATATTTCTCAATGTTGTGACTGAGAAGTGATAGATACAGTCTGGTAGCGAAACTGGAAAGAGTATTAAAGCACGTTGCACGCCACTGTTAATGCAGTAGCCTGCGATAGGTTATGCTTCTCTCTCCTGTTTTGGTATCTGAATATAGCTAGTTCTTTTTATCGATTTTATCCTGGTGATGCAATTAAAAAGAAACTGATCGGATTTTGAACCACACCGCTTATAAAGATTTTTTACGTTGTGCCTGTTATTCAAATGTATGAAAGGTAATGGTGCACCATGGTCGTTATATTTTGTTTTTGTAAAAATATACAAAATTAGATTTTTCTCGAAGAAGTTTAGTTTTCACTTGTTCTTTATACTTATAGAAATCCTGTATACCTACATTCGTTATTATATGCTTAAGGAGAAACTGAGTGGCCGTGTTGTGTGTGTGCGTCCAATAGATAATTTTTCATTTTCCTACCGATTTTGATATTATATCTAACGATTTCGTGCTTTTCGGCTCGGCAACACTGCTTTGCGCCAATGTTGTAACTTAATAAGTTCTATAGTATGATGTAAGTTTTTCCACAGAGCTTGTCCTTAGAATGTGATCGTAATCATCCCATTGGCGGGCTTAAGCTCCGCCAAATGGGAGGAAAATAACCTTTATTCTTTTTATAGTTCGAGATGAAAGATGAAATGCATGGCTCCGTTCTATCTCCAAAATAAAAATCAAATACAATATTTCTTCTACGAGATCTACAGAGACTTCAAATGAGTTATCTTCCAAATACATTTTACCAACACATAAGCTAGAAAAAAATCATTAAATCCATTTGCAGAGTGGTGAGCTTTGTCAGTCAAAATTTAAAAAATATCTTCAAGTTCCTGTTTACCATGAGTTGTTTTCCCTCACCTAAGTGCGAAGACAGTCATTTGAAAAACTATACAGTAACAAACACGATGAAAATACAAACAATCTGAGGCATTGTTGTTAAAAGAATCGTTATAAAAAGAAAATTTACATACCAATCATTTCTTGCATAGGCATAACTCCTCCGTATTCTTTGGGTAAAATATCAGTTTCTATGTTTCCGCTTTCCAAAACTTCATCGAGATTCGAGTAAAGCGTCACACGACTTTTAATCTTTTCCGAAATCAAAGACATGCCAAAGTCTAGTGCAAACTTCATTGATGGATGAACATTGATGCCGTGAATTTCTTTGTGCCTCATTGGGAGTGTTCTCTAAAAAAAAATTTGTAGTTTGGCATAAAATTAAGATACAGGTATAGGATAATTTATTTCTACCCAAACTATAAAATCATAAATTTGCATGAAATTGTACGTTTATAAGCCGATAGCAGATCGAGGGAAGTCAATCTACATAACACTATCAAATCTTCTGAAGTGAAACTACTTGACGCTACTTTTAATCAATACAATACGTTTGGGTCAATGCCATTATTTTTATTATTTATTATCCGGTTTTTAAAATGAATGCGTACGTTCCTGCTTAAATAATGACGCAGTCGATAGTGGGTACGGCACCATGTGTAGCGATAAACAGATCCTATCTACAACAGCAGTCATGGCCGAGCGGTTAAGGCGTCTGACTAGAAATCAGATTCCCTCTGGGAGCGTAGGTTCGAATCCTACTGACTGCGATAACTTTTTTTTTATTCAAATCGTTTAATCAATGCAGAGAAGTGTAAATACAAATAATTTTGAAAATATATGGTGTTCAACTATTATTTCTGATAATTAAAATAGCAATAGGTCATTTTTGGGGAAGTTTTTACCTCTCCATTTTTCACAATTCGCACAGCTTCTTTGATGGTAAATAGCGTTAGGTAGGCAAATCCTACACCTTGGCCGTCAGCAAAATGAACAAAACCTCTAATTTGATTTTCTTCGTCTTCCATTAGAGTTTCGTAAGCAATGCCGTGTATCCTACACATGTCCCCATTTGTGAATTTGTCCAAATCAAAAACACCTTCAAGTAAGAAAACAAAAATACAATATGAAAAAACGTCATGTTGGTTGAATACGGTTGCCATTTGCAACTCTGAGCCTTTACAAACGCACTCAGCTAGGTGTAAGAATAAACTTTACACATACTCGTGTACCTAAGTGGATCATTGTGCTCCGAGAAGACGGCATCCGATGTCAACCACGATCTTTTCTTTATCAAAATTGCAATATATAATTGGATCACTTATTCAATTTCCAAGCCAAAAACGCAAAAAGCCCTGTCTGCACTTTTGATTTCTGATGGTGCGTCTAGGTTTGGCAAGCGTATGGATGCGCTTTAGCAATTCGAAAAAAATGCCAAAGTGGCATAAACGTTTTATCACAAAAAGTAATTGCTATAAGCAAAAATAATTACCTGGTCGAGTGACAATGACTCTTCTTCCTTTCTTATCGCGTTTTGGACATGCAAAGATGTAGCCCAGATTGGTGAGCTCTTCCATCATGGGTATCGTGATGTCAAGGCAATTGAATGCGACTCCAAAAGTTTGTCTGAGTAGGAGATATCTTTCTAAGGCTTCCTGGGCTAGAGGAATGTGGTATTTCTTGAAACGAAGGAACCTTAATAAAAACTTAGCATCTGAAACATGTATTAAACGCAGATGGATTATCACGTAAAAAAAACAACAGTTCGTAGTAGCCACGTAGCCAGATGTGTAGTACCTCTCTGACACAGGCAGATGAGAGGCATTTAGGGCATAGAGCAAGGAGCAGTTTTACACCTAGAGACCTAGATACAGACTGCCGTCTCCCAGCGTCCCAGCTGGCAGCTGGTAGCTGGTAAACCAGTATAGTATGCAGTATAGCTATTTACTTCGAAAACTTGACAACCACGGATTCTTGCAAAAAAAGGTTATTTTATTAGAAAAGTTTCATTATATATCAAACAATCAAACTCAAACACTCTACTTGAAGGTTAAAGCTTCAGTGAACGAATCGAACGGGAATTTTATAAGATAAGAAGGATATGTTTTAATTTTTATAAATGGGCCGATCCCGGAGGTACTGCAATACCGGGCCAACCCGCGACGGGAGTGGAGCAAGCCCCTAACCTCCCATCATTTTCCAAAAATCAGTTTAATATTCTGGCCCCACATGTGGGGCGTATCAGATATTAAGCTGATAAGAACAGATACTACACTTTGATCTTAGCCAGAGGCCGAGAAGCGATACCCCAAGTATTTCTCTCAAACTACACATTAAAATTACTCATGGTAGTCGTAGCGTGACTCTTCTAGAGCCACCTACCGAGTATTAACAAAAGTTCGATGTTTGAGATTAATGATCGATACATTGCACAGAGAAGAATCTGTTTGAAAAATCAGCTTTGAGACGCTTCCGCTAGATGGCGCAACACGTCTATCAGAGGCGGAGTGTAGAGGTAGGGCAAAATTAAGCCTTTGTAGGTCTCGCGCTCATCAAAACCATTTAGTTCTAGTCAGTATATGTGTATCGTATTGTTTTTTTTTGTATTTTATTTTTTGTTTGTTAATAAGGACGCTGCGAATTTAAATACTCCGCGTAAACTGACGCTCACATAGTAGATGTACCTATAAGATACACGTTTTCTCAAATAATGTACATTTTTGTTTTTTGATTTCACCACTTCAGAAGGTTTTCAATAAATAATACAAACCTAGGCATCCCTAGGTATGTAGATGTCTCTAAGATCCAGTCGCAACAGGCATTATCGAACGAGATAAATATTCTTATGAACCACTTTTACCCCAAAAAGCAAAATCTATCCCAGATTAGTTGAGATGGTTAAAAATGTTTGTATCTGCCATCTGTGCCATGCGAGCGTCCTTTTTCGGAGGCTGAGCAAGCAGTCATGTCATCAGAACTAGACTAGAGACCGATAATCCAAAATTTCTTAATTAATTAAAATAAATAGAAATTTGTAATTTACATTTTCATGTAAGTTTTGCTTTAATTTCCTCATGAGCCGCAATGGGTGATCTCTATTTTTTATAAAACTTAGCTAATTTATATTTTTTTCAGTCTCTATAAATAGCAGCATTTATCATTTTTTCATAACTTCCAGGCTACCAGTTATACAACCTTCTGCTTACGGTTGTGTTTCGTCTCCTTTCTGCTATCTCGTTCTTTCACACACAGAATTAGTTCGATCATCCGCAGGGATATTACGTGTCTTGAAAAGGGACATTAGGTATGTCGTTTTTTTGACATATAGGTATTTTGTGATGTTATGTAGGTTTTTCTACAAGATGTCAACTTAGCACTAGCTGTTATACACTTATTGTTGCGTACTCGTTCCGTAGCTGTACGTGTTGCTCAAACGTCATGATGCCTCACCTATCAACGTTTGGCTCTGATGTGATGTAACATCTGCTTCAGAGATGACATTATTGGAGGTGTAAGCTGTAAGTTGTATACTATAGCTGGAAGGAAACCTCTCTTCAGAAAGGACAATATAAATAACCCGTCTGGCACAGTTAATAGATATATTTCATGGGCAGCATATTCAGTAATAATCTTTTCACATAGCAAATATCACATGCAGATCAATACACCCAATCATCCAGATGAGATCTTGCTACTGTTACTCAACCACACTTCTTCTCAGAGTTTACTACCGAGATAGTCTGTAGACTGTCTCGGCATTCTGCAACCAACAAAGCATGATGGAGAACTGACTTGCAGCTTGCAGCATGGTCATTGAGCGTGTCGTGTCGATGAGTCATTCCTTCATAGACGGACGCACACAGCGCCCATAGCAAGCAAACGTGGAATGCACACTAGGAACTACCTAGACAGCAAGTTGACATTTTGTCGGATTTTTTTATGTTTTTACGTAATAGCCCAGCTGGATCCTGCAATACCATTCATTCGTAGTGAACGACTTTTTCAAGGAATGATGAACTAGTTTGCTTCAATCATAAGAATCGTTCGATTGAACTAGTTCGTTCGCGAAGTAGGTATACACCACTATTGGACTCACCCATTCGACAGTTTCTGATCTTGGGATTCTGCTTGATCCATTCTCTCATGGAGGCCAGCGCGGACTGCCTGATGTCGTGGTCCTCACGCAGCTCCTCCAGGGCAATGGCCTGGGTTTCCTCTGACAGCTCACAAACGTACTCATTAGGCTCCGTTACCCATTTACGGTCTTCAGGGGATTCGGATGGCGGAGATGTCATGTCGCCGCCGATTTAGTTTCGGTGACTGTCAAGGTCTGGAATATGAAAAAAATGTTATTCCACAATATACAGGGTGGCACATTGAAAACGAAACAGACGCATTTAGTGGCAACTCATTTTTTTTTTGAAAAACGCTCAGACCCGTCGATTTTGTTTTCGAGGGGGACACAAGTTAGCACGTGCGGCCCCCTAAGCGGGGGTGACACCACCCCCAAAATCTTAAATGGAAAGGGAGGTCGAGTGATACCTTATTTTAAAGGTCTTTCAATTCCCTTTATGATGATATAAAATTAATGTACTTCAGTTCGGTAGTTTTGAAGATTTATTGATTTAAATCTTAAATAAAACTAATACAGCATCATTAGTGGAGATCAATACATTTGGCAGCAAAGTGATTTAAAAATAAAGAATGAACGGACCCGTTAGGCAAGTAAACGTTGAAAATGGCCACCATGACTCTATATGCAATAATAAAGATTTTGCTCAAAACGTTGCCGCACATATTTGAGGAGTAATTTGAAGGCACTCATTCACAATTCTTTGTCGCAGGTCTTCTAATGATGTTGGCTGAGTAGCATAGATTTTGCTTTTTAAATGACCCCACATAAAGAAATCCAAAGGTGATAAATCTGGCGATCTTGGGGGCCATTCAATGGCACCTCTTCTACCAATCCATCGATCGGGAAACGTCTGATCTAAATATTGTCGAACACGTAATGCGTAATGTGGTGGGGTCCATCCTATTGGAACATCAACCTATCCGCAATGTACCGCCGATCATTCTGATTTTCAATTATGGCTGTTAATGCAGGATCTATGACATCTTCCAGTAATTCCAAATACATTTCACCGGTCAAATTTCCCGGTAAGAAAAAAGGACCAACTAAATGATCGCCAAAAATACCAGCCCAAACATTTAATTTTTGTGGCTGCTGTGTATGAACCTCATGATAAATTCTGGGATTAGAATCGGACCAATATCGGCAGTTATGACGATTGACTATGCCATTTAAGAAAAAGGAACATTCGTCGGAAAAGCAAGTGTTGAATAGAAAATGTTCATCATTTATAATTCGTTCACTCATATCTTCACAAAATTGTGATCGCCGATCAAAATCGTCTTCATTAAGTTCTTGTACCAGGTGAATTTTATACGGATGAAAACTATGGGCCTTTAGAATCCGTTGGACAGTACGTCGACAAACACCACACACAGTCTCCAATTTGCGGGTACTTAACGTAGCATCTACATAAACTTGCCCTAAAATCCCCACTTCTATTGCTTCGTTCATTATGGGATTTTGAATGTTGCGTTTTTTATTGGCGACTGACCCAGTTTAACGAAATTTAGCTACAAGTTCTAGAACATATTTTCGATGCACGTTACTGTTCTCAGGTCGCTCATTAAATATGTCTGCTGTTCTGTTATCGCACTGATTATTTCCGAAAAATATTTCGATAATTTCAACTCTTTCTGCTGTGGAATATACCATGGTTAATTTATGTAATAAAGCGTTACAAGTTATTTTAGCAACAAAGTTTGGTCAAATCAATCGCAAACTATGTACTAAATTCCTATTTAAAATCAGTACGAGATATTTCCTTATCTTTCTTCAAGAAATAACTTTTTTGCTACAAAAAAACGCTCATGTATTGTACATCATTATAAAGGGAATTGAAAGACCTTTAAAATAAGATATCACTCGACCCCCCTTTCCATTTTAGATTTTAGGGTCGGTGTCACCCCCGCCCAGGGGGCTGCACGTGTCAACGTGATTTTCTGCCAAACTTGTGTTCCCCTCGAAAACAAAATCGCCGGGTCTGAGCGTTTTTCAAAAAAAAAACTGAGCTGCCAGTAAATGCGTCTGTTTTCTTTTCGATGCGCCACCCTGTATAAATACAATGTAAAGCGTGGGCATATTTAAGGTATGAAATACTGATGGTCACATTATGCGGAATTCGTCTGTAGCATGATTTTCAACCTATAAAGTTTCATTACATAAAAATTTCATTTTATTCACCCCTGCTTATACGTGAACGAAGCTTTGGCAATTTGGGATGCTGATTCTCAATATGCATATGAAAAAATCCTAGATGTACTCAAGAAACGAGTATTTGTATAGATCGCAGACAAGGTTTTTTGAAGTTTTCGTCGGTAGTACGCCTTTAAGCTTGAAAAAGTTGACCTCGCAGGATTTTCATTTTCTTCTTATGTGTCTACAAGTAAATGAAACTCGGTACACATGGGGTAACTAAGGCCCGTATCGTTAGTCGTCCCTACAATTGTAGGGCGCCTTTATGGCCTCCTTGATTATCATAGTTTTCTACTTCTCCGTGTCAGCGCTCTATTTTGAGCTTATGTCACAAACATCTATTTGCATCAAATTGTGCTTGCTTTTGAGTTATATCATGTTTTATCAGCCTGAAATTTCCTACAATTTAAAAAGAAAATATTTCTTTACAATAGGAGAGCGCTGACGCTTACACGGGACAAGTGTAATCTAGAAATTTTTGAAGGAGAGAAAGGAGTATGACAATCAAGGAGACCATAAACGCGCCCTACAATTGTCTAGATTCCTACTGTTCCGTATTAGCATCAGCGCTCTCCTATTGTGAGGTTATGTTTTCTTTTTAAATCTTAAGTAATTTCAGGCTGATAAAACAGATGATAAAAGTAAAGTTTTATCAGGCTGACATTTCTCAGAATCCAAAAAGAAAATATAACCTCAAAATAGAGCGCTGACGCTGATACGGAACAGTAGAAATCTAGAAATGCCCTACCCTTTCTGAAGGAGAGAAAAGATTATAAAAATCAAGGAGGCCATAAAGGCGTCCTACAAGTGTAGGAATGACTGAAGATACGGCACTTAGGTTACTCATTTCGAATATTGTTAAGAAAATATCGCGTCGAATTCCTATATGGAGCATGGCCACCTTAGTAAGAAACTAGCATCAGATTCGTCTTCTACGCATCCGACATCCGCCCAAAAACGGGCATTGGTTA